AAGAGTAAGTTTTTTTTTGTGTAATCTTGTATAATGCAAACAAAATACATTGAAAAAAAACAACAAAATAGACACTGTGAAGATAAATGTTTCATATTTTTAGCGGTTCTCATTCTGAAAAAACAATATATAACATGTAATATACACATGAGGGACAGAAGGTGAGAAAAAATTAAAAAACAATTTGTGGGACAGAGGGAAACTTGAAAATTTTGGTGTGTTTTAGGTGCATTTTCTTCACCTAGCTTGCTCCCAACCATTGAGACTGAGGTCATACCTAAGAAATGGATGATTGTCCAGGAGGAATTCTACAGAATATAATATCTGTGCTTCCCTCTCTACGGGAGATCTTCCTTTTTAAACGCCCCACTGAAGCTTCTTGGAAGCTTCCTAAGCTGGAGTGAGGGAGTATCCGGAAGAGATGTTTATAATTTCTCTTTTGGCACGAGAAGACATAACTTTAGTTTATATGGTTTAGAAGATAAGATAAGTAGAGAATATCGGCTGCAACGTTATCTGATTGATTGATTGATTGGTGCATCTGCCTTAATTAATGATGATTATTTTTAAAAGGGTTGCTCATGAAATTAATCCGTCATTGCAACAAATTTTATAGGTTCCGTGCGACGATTAGAGAGATGTGTGGTCATGCAAAGAGAGGTTAAGGCGTGATGTCAGATTAGCTCTTACAAGAGAAAATAACACAAATGGTCCATGAACTTTGAACTAATATGTAATGTGGTTCATGGATTTTTGGTACATATTCAATTTAGTCTCTGAATTATATGAAAATGTTCAATGTTATCCTTGTACTTGAATTAATAGAAGGACAACATTGAACATTTTCATATAGTTCGGGGACTAAGTTGAACGTGTACCAAAAATTCAAGGACCGCATTGCACATTTTGATTAAAATTCAGGGACCATATTGAACAAATTAAAAGTTCGTGGACCATATTGTATATTTGATCGAGATTTAGGGACCATTTGTGTCATTATCCATTCTTTCAAAGTAGAAACCATAATTTCAAACTTTAAGGCTTTGTATCTTGAAAAAGAAGATGGTTTAGTTCAATCCAATGCTAACTTCGGCCTTGGGCGTGACTTGTGGTTTTTCCTTTGTTTCTCCACAGTACAAACCACCACCACCACCACCACTCATGTCTGTTGAGGAGATTCGACATGTCTTTGCCAACAGGAAGGAACCTGAGCAACTTGAAAATGTTAGGTTGAGATGTAGCAACCAAAGATGGGGTGACTCGGTAAAATCGTAGCCAAATAGAGATTTTTGCGACCCTTTTCGTGGAAGTGCTTAGGTTAAAATTTCTACAGGTGTGGACTTTGTAATTTCTGCAAATAATTGTGCGGGCGTAACAACGAAGGGGATCTGTGCAAGCAATAACAAAGAGAAAGATGGCAGTAGAGAAATATCAAGACGGGATTTATAGCGGTTCGCGCTTTGCCTGTGCCCCTTCCAGTCTCTTAGCTTTATCAAAACCGAGCAAGCCGTATCTACTAATATCAACATGCATGCGTTGCAAACTGCTTGCGAGGAGAACTTGTTTCTCCTGCAGTTTCTTTTTGTCGATGCCCTTACATCAGAACTAGAGTTCTTTCGTCCTCTGCCAGTCCTACGATGGATTTACGAATCCCTTTGTCAAACACCTTTCGCAATCTTTTGCATATGCAGGAATGTGTGTTCACAAGTGTGTTCAAATGAATCAAGTGTTCAGAGAAGATTTGCAAATGAACTCCGAGCTCCAAAAGCGAGACTCAGCAAAAGAATATGTGTTCACAAGTCCGCGCTTATGCAACAATGCACTGCTATCATCGCCGCTTCGCTTCTCGTATTTATAGATCTTCAAATCTGAACGTCGAAGCATAAATTAATAGTCGTCGCATCAATCTTGGGACATCTTCCAATAAGGCTGCATTTGACGAGTCTTTGCAAAAGCAGCTTTGGAGTCTCTTATCTTGACTTACTTTCAAAACCCTCCGCGCAAAATCTTGTTACGCAAATGCCAGAAATTCAAGGGAAAAACCTTCTTTAAATTAGCATAATAGACAAAGAGATAGGATGGTGGCAGCCGTGCCCCACCACGCTCCTGCAAATCTCATTTGGGTCGTGCGACTGGGGGCCCTACCTGCTAGGGCGGTTCACCTTGGGGTCGCATCTACCTTGACTTGCTCGACTCGAGCACCATCTTGTCTGGGTCATGTTGTCCTGACAATGCCTTGCCTGGGGTCGCACGATCCCTGCGAAGCTTTGACAATGTTGTTGTCGGCTAAGTTCGTATACCATAAATTGAAATCAAACGTCAAGAAAACTAACCTGAAAGCAGTACAAACAAATAAGCAGAATGTTGATCCGAGCCCAACGAAGTAACGTTGTGTCCTTAAGAGGAATTTGGCCCCTCAACCGGTACCCGAGGATTTGGACAATCGTCTCCCAGGATAGAACGGATCTCGTTCCTCCGAAGCGGTACGTATTCGGAGGACCCCTTCGAACGCAATTTCGCAGAATAATCGCACGAAATGATGAAGTGAAAAATGTCTAGAGTGTGTCGGGTGCGGCGGGAAAAATGTCTCGCGGGAATACGAATGCTACGAAGTGTCACTACATTCCGAACTAAACTGTTCGGTCATATATTGAAGTGACGAAAATGAAGAGTTGCGAGTAATGAAGACTCGCTTTCGTGAATAGTAGCGAAGGTTCACTTGAATCGGTTCGGTTCGTGAACAGTCGCGAAGGGCTTCGGTTTTCGTTCGGGCGAACCGAACCTCACGAACAGACATGTTTGTTTGTCCAAAAAATAAATAATTAATTAATTTCTAACACCGGCCGGACAGCGGCGGCGCGCGGGGGGAAACTGACCTAGCTTGGCGTAGGTCCTCTCCCTTCCACAAAAGTGGGATACCCCTTGGGGCCCAAACCCATTTGTGAGGCTCAACTATTTGAACCAATCTCCCATCTCTCTTCTATTCAATGTGAGACACTTTCATCCACACACTTTTCATACAATTCTATGGGATTTGGATACCAAAATCCCAACAAATGTCGGTACAAGTGCAATCCGATGGCCTGGTGCAATGCTTCACACCTCTGCTCGGGTGGCTTGCCTTGGGCCGTGCCACCCCAACGGGGTCGCATCTACCTTGGCTTGCTCGACTCGAGCACCATCTTGTCTGGGTCATGTTGCCCCGACAATGCCTTGCCTGGGGTCACACAATCCCCGCGAAGCCTTGACAACGTTGCTACAAGTGCAGTCCGATGGCCTCATGCAATGCTTCACACATCTGCTTCCTCTTCTCTCTCTTATTTTTTGTAAAAAAGAATGTGCTTATTTTTAAAAAGGCTTCTCAAAATGTTCCAAATACCTATTACGAAACACTATTCATCTTAGAAGAAATTGAAAATACATTGGTTTAAGTAACTTTACCTAAATGCGGGAAATTTACTGCAAAATCTATAAACTTATTGCACTTTTCACAATTCATTCATAAACCTTTTTAATTGTGCTATTTGAGTTCTAAACTATTCATTTTTTGCCAATTGAGTTCATCTGATCAATTATTAAAAAAAATTCGAAAAAGAGAAGCAAAGAAAAAAAGGAAAAAAGAAAAGAAAATTATAAAAAAAAAGATGGAAAAGAAGCAAAGGAAAAAAGAAAAGAAAATTATGGAAAAAATATTTAAAAAATATTAAAAAAATAAAAAAAATTGTCCACGTTACATAGGACGCCCAGCACATGTCAAAAATTTCCAACCAAAATTGGCAAAATGAACCCAATTGGCAAAATGTGAAAATGTTTAGCATTCAATTCAATTGAATGGTTTAGGACTGGGCAAAAGTACAATAATAGGTTTAAGATTTTTGTGATAATTTTCTCCCTAAAGGCAAAAGCGATCTAGCCCTAAATTGATTAGCCTGTAAATAATCTTCTAAATATGAAAATGTACCTTGCCATCTTTGATCAACAATCAAGCATATAAATCACAAATTATCTTGCCAAACTTGGGTGTGCTACAATATACGAAGGGATAATATCACGAAAAATCCCAAACTGGTACATCTGTGATAAATTTACCCAAAACTAATTTTTTGACCACTAAAAACCCCAAACCGGTACACCTATGACAATTTTATTCTCAGTTTGTTTCCGTTAAATTTTATTGTCAAATTGCTTTGTTAAATGACATGGGGTAATTGACTAATGTATCGGTTTTATGTTTACCCTCCGTTTGTCATAGGTGTACCGGTTTTTTGTTTTTTGTGGTATTAATCCAATTTAACGGAAACTAACGGAAGGTAAATTTATCATAAGTGTACCAGTTTGGGATTTTTGGTGGTAAAAAATTAGTTTAGAATAAAATTGTCATATGTATATTAATTTGAGATTTTTTCGTAGTATTAACCCATATATGAAATAGAAAAATGATATCGGTGAGCTGGCTCTTCATTATCTGAAACTTTTAATATTATTGAAGTCATGTTGTATCCAAGTGTATTTCTTCCATTCTTCAATAATCATAAGATGAATATAACAATTATAGTGGAAATATCTCCATTTAACATCTTCATAGATTCGAATCGCCTCAAATAGATCAGACTCTTGAAGATCTTCAATCTGCGATACTTCTTCTGCATTCACTCTAAGAACTCATCGAATACTCTTCTAAGATTTTGCCATCATCGAGATAATTGAAGGGATTTCAATATTGGTTTTCAAATTATCCAATAGAGTGAAAGACAACATTGCACAATATGTAAAGATTGAGGATTACATCGCATAAATAATCGATTAGAAAGTTAAGGATGCGTTTGATAACCTCGATAAATGCTGAAAAATAGTATTTTCAGCACTTATATCAATAAATGCGCTTGAAAAATAGTATTCGATCAGTCGATAAATTCAACACATCATTTGATAAATTAATTTTGTAAATCGATTTAATAAGAGTAATTATAACTTACACTTGGTGGTAGAAAAAGTAATTTCCGACAAGCAGCCTTTTCATCCTCAACAAAATCGAACGCAATCGAATGATCTCTGAGCTCCCTGCGAGCTCGCTCTCGGCAGTTCCAGCGTCAAAAGAGTTGTGCAGGGGAGACCGAGAGGGGGTGGCTTCGTTGTTCTTCCACCTTCTCTCAGCGCCAAACGGCATTCCTTGTGGCAGTCATGGCAACCCACTATTGCAGTGAATCCAAATTTGCCTTCTCATCATCAGTTCAATGCTGGGCCCACCGCCCATAACCTGTTTGTCGAAATGCCGCTGAAGCAGTCTCCATGTGGGTAGGTGCCATGTGTATTGCCTTCGAAAACGCTTGAGTACCCACTTCTTCCCCGGCATGCACGAACCGGATTTCAAAGCATGGGGCGACGTGATCAGGGACTATTGCACCAACGCCCGGCACAAGGAAGCCGTTTCCTTTTTCCTTCAAAAGGTCCGGTCTTCCTCGGTTTTCAAACCCAGTTACCAAGTCCTTTCATCTGTTCTCAAGTCCTGTGCCGCCCTCTCGGCCCTCCACTTGGGAAAGACTCTTCATGGGCATTCGTTAAAGCTTGGCCATCTTTCTTGCTTGTGTATATCGAAAGCGCTGCTCAACTTGTATGCGAAGTCCGGAGCTTTGGATGACTGCCAAAAGTTGTTTGGTCAGATCCATAGCCCCGATATTGTCCTCTGGAACATTGTATTGTCTGGGTTTGCTGGGTCCAAAGGGCTTGAGGCTGAGACAATGAGGATGTTCAATAATTTGCATCTTGTCCAGGACCCCAAGATGAGCTCTGTCACCGTTTGCATCGTCCTTCCTTTGTGCGCTCGATTAAGCAATCTGGATGCGGGGAAGAGGGCGCATTCGTTTGTCATTAAATCCGGCTTGGATACACACACCCTCGTGGGAAATGCACTAATCTCAATGTACGCAAAATGTGGGCGAGTTACGACTGATGCTTATGCTGCATTCACCTGCATCCCTGACAAGGATGTGGTTTCATGGAATGCAATCATTGCTGGGTTTGCAGAGAATAAGCTGATAAATGATGCCTTCAGAATGTTTTGCCGGATGCTGAAAGGATCAACAGCACCCAATTATGCGACGATCGCAAATGTTTTGCCTGTTTGTGGTTCTCTGGAAAAGAGCACTGCTTACTGCATTGGAAGACAGATACATTCTTTTGTGTTTCAACGAACGGAGCTTGCGGCAGAGATCTCTGTCTGCAATGCACTTATGACATTCTACTTAAGGATTGGACTGGTAGAAGAGGCTGAGACCTTATTTAGACAGATGAAAGTGAGAGATTTAGTTTCGTGGAATTCAGTCGTAGCAGGATATGCATCAAATGATGAATGGTCAAGAGCACTGCAGCTTTTTCACGAACTAGTCTTGACTGAGAGATTTACCTTGGATAGTGTCACTCTTGCTAGTGTTCTCCCTGTTTGTGCACAATTAAGACAGATTCAGTGGGGTAAACAGATCCACGGATATGTACTTCGACACCCTGGCTTATTTGGGGATACAACAGTGAGGAATAACTTGGTTCATTTTTATGCAAAATGCGATGATGTAGAGGCAGCTTTTTTGTCATTTTTGATGATTTCAAGTAGAGATGTGGTATCTTGGAACACGATGCTCGATGCCTTCAGTGAGAGAGGATTTCATAGCCAGTTTCTGGACCTTTTGAGCTGGATGCTCAAAGAAGGAACTAAACCTGACTCTGTCACCATGCTTATCTTAGTAAATTTCTCCATTTCACTCTCGAGAGTACAATTGGTCAAAGAATTACACGGATACATTGTCAGGTCTGGTGTTTTGATAGGGCAGAAAGTGTCCACTATTGGAAATGCAATGCTTGATGCATATGGTAAATGCGGTGATGTTGATGGCGCCTCGAAGATTTTTAATAGTTTATTGAACAAACAATATTTAGTCTCATACAACTCAATGGTGTCTGGACATGTGAACCATGGATCACATGATGATGCGTATAAGATATCAAACAGGATATTTGAAACAGATCTCATCGCTTGGAATTCAATGATTCGAGTTTATGCTGAAAATGAATGCTTTGATGAAGCTCTAACTCTCTTTTATCAGTTACAAGCTCGAGGAACGAAGCCCGATGAGCTGACAGTCATGAGCCTCCTCCCTGTATGTGCTCAGATTGCCTCCATTCATTTGTTGAGGCAGTGTCATGGATATACAGTCAGAACTTGCTTTGAGGATGTTAGACTAAACGCTGCTCTTTTAGATGTGTATGCAAAATGTGGAAGCATAGTGTATGCTTATAATATTTTCCAGTTGAGCCCACATAAGGATCTGGTGATGTTCACCGCAATGGTTGGTGGCTTCGCTATGCATGGTATGGGGGAAGAAGCACTTAAAATTTTCTATCACATGATTTCATTAGGTATAAAACCGGATCATGTTGTCATCACTTGTGTGTTGTCTGCCTGTAGTCATGCTGGCCTCATAAATGAAGGATTAGAGATATTTGACTCCATACAAAACGTTCACAGAATGACGCCAACTACGGAACAGTATGCTTGCCTAGTTGATCTCCTCGCTCGAGGAGGTCGAGTGAATGATGCGTACTCTTTCGTGACTCAGATGCCCATTAAAGCTAGTGCAAATATTTGGGCGACCTTATTGGGTGCATGTAGGACTCACCATGAGGTGGAATTAGGTCGAGCAGTGGCGCACCATCTTTTTAAAACCGAAGCCAATGACGTGGGGAACTACATCGTGATGTCAAATCTTTATGCTGCAGATGCCAGGTGGGATGGTGTTTTGGAGATGAGAAAGCTAATGAAAACAAGAGATCTAAGAAAGCCTGCTGGATGCAGCTGGATTGAAGTGGATAGGAGAAAAAATGTGTTTATAGCTGGAGACTACTCTCATCCGGAAAGAAGCATTATATTCAGCATTTTAAGTACCATGGATCAACAAATCAAGGAGAGGCTTGCTGGCTCCTCTGTTGACATGCTACTCAATCCCACTTAATGCCTAACATTGCCGAGCAGACTTAATTTGCACGCCTTGATGTAAGATATCCTTGTCTTGCTTGGGTGTTGCAGATGTATGATTTGATTGAGTTTTTCCTTCTCTAGTAGCCTTTAATTTGCAACTCATTAACCATGCACACTTTGTTGTGACTATCTGCATATATAATGTTTAATCTTCAAACTGAAACACATTTCCGAGTTTGCAACTTGAGAGTATTTGATTGTACTGCTCTATGTTCCTTTTGTAGGTAAATTTGAATCTTCAAGGACACTTCATGCCATTTATTTCTCTTGGCTAATTTGGTCACTCCGTTGTTCCTCTGCTCCCACTGGATAAAAGGAATTGTCTTGGGTAGACCCATCAGAGTTCCTTAACTCCTGTTCTATTTTTCTTACTAGTACATTTTTGTACCGTTAAGGCTAATTTATAATTTCAATTCTTGCAGTGACAATTGATTCTCAACAATGCGTTTATTGGATGTTGAGAATACAAGTGCTCCCAGGTTGACAGGTAAATTTTCTACTTATTTTTTCTTTTATCCTCAGGTCCATGTGTCCAATATAGTTGTCTTCAGTTGAATAACTTAAATTCAAGTTGGACAACTGCCATGTCATTGGCAGACTGGCACTTAGGTGACCACAGTTATGGCCATGTCGACACACAAGTATTGACCTTCTCTCTCTCTCTCTCTCTCTCTCTCTCTCTCTCTCTCTCTCTCGTGTGCGTGCATGTGCAACATAAAATGAGATGAAATATATGATGTTGCCCACATACTTCCTACTTTAATTTGTGAAAATGTAACTAATGTGGCTTGAAGTCTTAAATTAGCTGTATAAATATGTCACATATATGTTTTGGGGGATTAAATGTAAGAAGCAGAAAATATGGTTTTTTGTGTTATTGCGCAGCTTTCATCATGTTTTGTTGGCTGTGAGCTTTTCTGCTTTTTGGAACCGCATCGTAAAGACTTTTGCATGAGTGGAAGCAATCCTATAAAAAGTGCGTCTCAATTTTTCATCATTTTAATTTATTTGCCATATACACTTTTGAAGACCTTACATAGATTTAAGGTGCATGGATGGACTTTTACTTTTTACTTTTGGCTTAATCTAAAACTTGTGACAGACGCACTTTCGCTTTTCTTTAACTTGCATCATCTGAAGCTTTCACGATATACAAATGATGACATGGAAATTCACACATAATTTTTCCAGACCTTTCTGAGATTTTGATAATATTTTCAATTTTGGCGGGAAAGCAAAAAGGTGGGCTTTTGCTTCTTAAAAACTACAAACAAACAGGCCCTCAGTCTTAAAATAGGGAAGCAGAAAATGCTTATCTGAAGAAGCTTGGACAGTCTTGAAGTCCCTTGTGTTTGTGGACTGAAACTCATATTCAATACAAATTGCAGGTATACAACATTTTGGGCATGTCATGGCCTGAAAATGAGATGGTAAAGATTTTTTTTTCTTTTGGGGGGGTGTTTAGGGGGTTTGCACACATGCACTACTGACTGGAGTTACAAATCAAGAGCACGGTTTACTGCTGAAGTTATGATCCTTCACTTGTCTGAGGAGAAGTTAAAGGGAATAAATTTAATAACTCTGGTTCAGTAAACCCTGGCTTAGAACGGGGAGACGGATGCAGATAGAATCTCCTTTCTCTTATGGCTCTTTCTTCTTCTTGATTATTTAACTGCGGAGATGTGTGTTCCATGTTTTGTAGCTCAATAATGGAAAGCTTCGAGAAATTTGAAGTAGGGGTTCCCAGCGGACTTAAGATGGCATCAGAATTGCTGATTGATTTGGAGAGTGAGGAATGTTGGTCAGTTGATGAACCAGGTTTGAAGTGGATGGTGGGTTTAACTATCTGAAGCTTCTGCCTTGGGCACTGCCTTCTCTCGTGCAGTGAAACTGTTGGCCTCTTCATCTTCATGCTCCCAATTCTGTCGAGAGAGCCTTCCTGTGATGCATCAGTTTCTGATGGACCTGTTAAGCGCTGTACAATCTCTCGGAAAGTGTTTGTGTCGGTTTGTACAAATGTGGTTGTAGGCCTAGAAACAGCTGCACCTTGTGTCGCTGGCTTCTCCATGGATGTTCAATTCTGGAATGAAGACAGAAGACTTTTCTCTGTCCCCAGTTGAGGCTTTTTCACCTTGCTAAGGGTATGGTCTTCAGCCTGCAATCAAATTCAGAGTTCATCCTAATGAAATCAGTAAAATGGCGTCAAGTTGCGACTCTCAATTCGCACTATTACATTTACTCATGAATAGAAGAGTCAACCTCGTGTTATCCTTTGCCTTACATAACAAGATAACAATCAAGAAAAAGAAATGCCAAATGCCCCTGATAGATGGTCAGCAAGTAGTAAGAGGAATGGTTATGCTAATACGTGGTCTAGTATATTGCATACTGGTAGTTTTATGTGTAGTAAGGTCAGTGAACTTTAAAAGTACTTATGAAAATTCTTGTTATGACTCTATCAGAATGTTAGTGTGTGAAAAACATGCTGTTTGTTTCTCTATTAATAGTTTATAAGCATGACATGTATTCTAATGGCCTTTTGTTTGGAATCTTTATACCAGGAGCAACGGCAAAAACTTAATGGGAAAGCCTAAAAAGATGGCATGGTGCTGGTTACCCACAAAAAAGGTGTGGAAACTATCATTCTGAAGTCAAGCACCTTTCTGGTAGGCATAGGGAGGGAGAAACGAAGAATCGAGTAAAGGAGGCTTTGTTTTTCATATTTTTGCCCCTACTGTTTTCAGTATCTGTCAAGTGTCATATGCAGATTGGGTGGTGTTGAAAGCGGGTAAAAAGACCTCAAACATGCAGGAATGCATTGCTCTATTACCAGTATAATCTCTGCTCTTGTGATTGGCTACGATCAAGATCAGATTGGGGCAATTGACTTAGGATTATAGTGGAGTTAGTATTTCTTGACTTTACCGGCATCTGAAAAGTGGGATTAACATAAAAGGCCATGAACTAGCACATGGAATTAGGCAGAGAGCAAAATTCGAAATCATTTCGGTTAAATTAGTGGCACGAAGGTAGGCTTACTAAGATAATGGAGGTTGGCATTGAGAATGCAGGAGGAGAAACATGAGTTGTGCAGATGAAAGAAAGAGCATATTGGGGAAACATTCTGGGCAGACAAACTCTGGTGACATTTTGCTCCTGTTGATCATAATTAGCATCTCTAGCATCCCAGTTGGTGATGCATAGAGACCCTGCATTTCTTCCATCAACTGGGCAATCATGAAGTATTGATGGCCTACGGCAATGCAACTCATGGACGGCGTTTAATGCGAAATGATACGCCGAAGACAAACGGAAAATAGAAGCGAACAGATCGTACCTTGGGAGGGACTTTGAAGATTGATGAATGCCTTGGCGTCTGAAGGGCATGCGGTCGTGCATCCATTCAATCATGTGTGAATGCCTTAGCCCACAGGAAAGAAGAGGGAGTGATGATGGTTTGGTCTTTTGTAACTAAAAATTGAAGAGGTCTTTGGCGTACACTCAAAAGCCAGTTAGGACAGACCAAATGTAACCCTCCATTACACAAAAAGGCAAAACCACCTTAACTTCCCCCATCTCTCTCCTAGGTTGGCATCATTGGTTGAATGATACTAGAGTCAAACTTTACAGTTCACATGCCTCTTTCAATTCAACCCATCCAAAAAAAGGCAAAATCACTTATCCTTTTTCATACGGTTATTGAACAGGACATTATTCTAGAAAGAGTGCAAACATCGCCACCCCATCGGTATCCGACCTAATACCACGACATTATCGCCACATCGGGTGCCCGTGTCATGGCGCTCCTTCGATTCCGTCTTTGGTTGGGCTCTGGTGGAGGCAGGGATCGCTTCTTGCCGCAACCGGCCGCAAGATGAGGACGACAAGGGGGTTTTTCCTCTTGGTTATTGAGAAAAAAACATCTCGATTTCTTAACAAATATGCAACCAACCTCAACAGACAACTTCATCGGATACCAAGTAGGGAACCGTGTGAATACATTAGATCTCAAAGTCATCTTTGACTCCTACTTCAAACCTATTGAAAATAGAATCAAATCATTAATTTTTTAATCTAAAGTTTTTGTCTTTGTTCAATGATCTTATTGTGGCATGGTTCATGTCAATCTTATAAATTACATATTTTAATTGAGGGTAGAGCCTAATTTTGCATATTAACTCTTATTCATTTCAATACTGTTCTATTTGTATCCATTTGGATCACAGTTCATGAGAATCAAGAATCTAAGAAGCATATCAAAGGCTTCATCTTTCCCCATAGAAAGGGAGAGAGTTGAATTGGGTGAGAAAATGGAGGATCAGGTGAGAAGATACTTGGAGAAGGCCGCCGGTGGAGAGGGAGACGACAAGCTGCCTCCGAAGCTCTTCGAGAGCCTCGTCTTGTCGGGCCTCCGCGTCGACCTCGTCGAGCCCGGTCGCATCGTGTGCTCCATGAACGTGCCCCCTCGATTGCTGGTAACCTCTCCCCCTCCCCCTCCCCCTCCCCCTCACCTCTGCTTCCGTTGCTCATCTGGGTATGCTGGATCGTCCCTATTCGGTGCTTCGTCTGGGGTTTCTTGGGGAATGTCTGTCGTGATATCTTTGGTTGCAGAACGCGGGCAACTTCTTGCACGGCGGAGCAACGGGGATGCTGGTGGACGTGGTGGGTTCTGCCGTCATGTTCACCGTCGGAGCCCCCCTCACGGGTGTCTCCGTCGAGATTAACGTCTCCTACTTGGATGCTGCTTTTCTGGATGTGAGCCCCTCTCTCTCTCTGTTTCCCTCACCTGCCTCTTACTCGCAAATGCATCTCTTAGAGCATCCGGTCACAGCTACTGAGCATTGATGCGCGTATTCCATTTTGGGTTGACTCAATCTGATATAAGAAGCAAGAATAGGCACAGCACTTGAGAATCTGATGACAGATGTAAGCGGAAACGAGTGGTTCTTCAAAGTCCATTTGGGTTTCTGTCAAATGATAGGTAAGAGATGGAACCCGATATCCAAATGGGAGCATTCATCGTAAAATCACATCATCATTTCGTGTCTCATAAGCAAGACCCTCATGCGGATGTCTTTAGTATTCGTACCTTTTTCCCTTTGCAAAGAGTACCCACATAGAAACTAGGTTCACCATACTGCTTTTTGAAAATTTAGCTTGCCAAGCAACAAATAACCGAAATACAAACTCCAATTAAGAACTGAGGGTATTACAACATCTGAAAAAGTCTTCAGCTAATAGTCTCAGGCTGGTGCCGCCTCACTAATTTACTTTAAGATTTGGGGACCAAAAGGTCGGTTCTACATTTTACTTCTCCCAGGAAAATGAAACTGATTAATCTGGATAACCCTGAGTGCTGGATTTCTTACTTGCCGATGGTTTACTTATTTCTACAGAAGCACAAGGAAAACAAGCTTGATCGACATTGTACCTGCACAAATTAGTTTGCCAAGCCACAGATAGACAAATAAAACCACTTAACTAGCATGAACCTGGATGCTGCAAAGTTCAGCAAACATTTGAGCTATTCTTTATACTCTAGAAAGCAAATTTTGTTGGATGAACTGAGCTGTTGGCATACCATAAAGGGATGGACTGTTTATTGGTGAAATGGTGGTTTTAAATGGACAGTTTTATCTGATATTCTAAATTCTCTAGTTAGGATAAATGTTTTCCCCCAGGGCATTGCATATACCATCATGTCTCTTAAATTCGTCAGGTCACGGTAGAACGAAATGCTGCAACACATGGTTCGGTTTTACTTCGTGTTATCATGTATGCTGTGTTGTGAGCTTTTTTGGGTACTGTGGGTGCTGATTAGACATAAAAAATTGCTCTGACTTTATTCAGGAGGAAATTGAGATTGAGGCGAAGGTTTTGCGTGTTGGGAAGGCTGTTGGTGTCACAAGCGTAGAGTTCAGAAAGAAAAAGAGTGGGAAAATTATTGCTCAGGGTCGTCATACTAAGTATCTTGCTGTGCCTAGTAAAATGTGAGCAGTTTCATAACATGCAGAACATGTCCATTATTCGTCAATGGTTCTTATTGGAAATTTATACTTTTGTGTCATTTGATTGGAGTACTGGCAGATAATGTATATAATGAAAGATTTCAGAAGCTTATTCTCTTTAGCATGGTTTTAATTTTGTCTATACATGAAAGACGAGATAAGTGTGAAGTAAGTGGCTTTCTAAAGTGTGCCTGAGCAGATGATCAATCACAATTTGAAATCCAGGATACCGCTACTGCCCAGGGACAACTACGTGCAATCATGAATGTAGCTTATTGATAATCATAGTACGTCGAGGAAAGTTTTATGCAGTATTTCTGCCTATCTCAGCTGAAAAGGATAGCGAAATGGTCTAAGCATTTCATTTAATCTGCTAGTGTTTTCAGTTCAATCAGCTTTTGGTGGTTTAGGCCGACTTTGGAGAACACCAATGTGCAGGATTGGTTGTCTGCTTATCTGCTTCATGCTTTTCGTTGTTGTTGTTGTTGTTTAAGGACACTAGCACTTGCAGCTTTCTATTGAGGCCCTTATGAATAACAATGCGAACATCTTTTTTCATAAAGACTTACTAGTTGGGAAAACCAGTCTTTACTGAGGGCCTTTCATGTCAGCTTGCTCATCTCCATCGGGATATGTTCACTTTAACTGGGGTTGGAACTTGAAGCTGGATTCTGTGGGGATGAACTTGGGGTAGAGTAGAGTTTAATTCCCAACAGAGTTGGATGTTGAAGATTGCTCATATACATTCAGTGAAACTCGGGTATCATGCAGCCAAACAATTGGATTGTGTGTCTATCTAGGAGATGGTAGTCATGTTCTAATTGTGTGCAGCAAAGATTTGTTGACCGTTTCAGATAAATGAACAGCTTCCTGGATTAACTCAACCATACTTGCCAGTTCAGTCCATCCTTTTAGCTGTGGGAATGGGACTGATGTTGGATCCGTGTTTCTTGCGGTAGTTTCAGTTCCTGCGTGGTATGAAATGATTCAAGTGATTCGATTCTTGTTTGAAGTTGTAAAAATGCCATCTGCACACTCTTCGTTTTCAAAGAACGAAGGAGTAGTTTGCTCCCTCCAAGTCTATTTGACCTTTTGTTTGTTACCTTTCTGAACATGCTGTAGAATGATTGATTGCCTAGGAGCTTATTGATTAGATGTGCTAATGTTTCGATACAGATTAGGAGACATTGTCGTTTCCTCATGTGTTTATGTAAAATCCGGAGCCGTGTAGGACATTGGGTGGTTCTTTCTGCTGGGTGCGTCGCGGAAGTTCGTCGGCTGTCAAATTAGCTTTAGCAGTGTATTTTGCGGATAATCTTTAGCACATTTTAACATTACTCCTACTATTTACACAGCTGTGTATGTATAGTGAGAGAGGGAGAGAGAGTTGAACAGCAAAAGGAAGAGGATTGCAGAGTAGTAACACAAGCACATGTGCACGATGGGGTTCCTTCGTAGTCACTATCTGAACGGAACACGGCATGTACCGTTGAATGCTTCATTCGACGGTACCGGTACCCTGATCCTACTGTATAAGCCCTACGACACATCATCGTTCTTAAGCGTAAATACGAACGCAGTACGTTACGACGTCATGGTGATCTGACCGGTCATAACTAAGTATAGAAAAAGCTGTTAAATAACCGGCGATACGATACGCTGAGCGTATTTTTAATTTCCAAATATCGCTAGATTCGCTCAAGTGGGAGAAAGGCTCTTAAACTCATGACCACACGAATGTGATCGACAAAGCATAACAGCCCATTAAAGAAATCGTTGCTTCCGTGCCAGAAAGACCGTTGCTTGTTAGGAAATACAATCGACGCAATCAATGGCGCGATCAAGACGAGCTGAGAGAGCACAACTTCACACCTCAGCTCAACCCCGGCTCTCCGGCTGTTCCTAATTTCACTCCCGGAGTCGAGGCTCGGTCGTTCTCGATCTCTCAAACCCGAGCCCGTTCGGTTCGGTTCAATTAAAACTTTCCGGCAATTAGCTCGAGCTCGATCAATTATCGAGGAACTCCCGTAACCATAGTCAAGCTAACGCATGAATGTTTTGAAAATTCTCATAAAAAATATATATCAACATTGTTTTTTTTTCTTCATTATGATAATTTCGTAGACACGTAATTGGAATACATAAAAAATAAAATAATAAATAAATAATCCAACGGCCGGGATTAGGGAGGGATGGCGAATCAAGGGATTCCGAGGGGCACTGCCGAAAAAAAGCAAAATGGGGTTTTTCCTTTTTCTGGCTTTTTCCCGGATAATTTATTTCCGTATTCGCTTCTCCTAATTCAGATCCCCTTTATCTATACGCTACATTTTATTCACATTCAAATAATACTTTCTTTTTCGGGTCAAATACATTTAAATACTTAAAAAAACGACGTCGACTTTTTTGTCCGTTCGCCACACGCCTTTTTCGTTCGTCTTCTTTTCATCATCGATTTTTCCTTCCTTTTCTTCTTTTCCACTCCGATTTTAAAAAAAAATAAATAAAAGAGGGGGGGGAGGCGGTCATCTCGCTCGCCCACTGTAAAACCCTAAAAGGTAACTCCCCCTCCCCTCCCCCAAAAAAAAAAAAAAAAAAAAAGAAAGGCCAAAACGCTTTCGCTTCGCTCGCTCGCTCGCTGCTCTCCCTTTTTTTTCACCTCCTCCTGCCGTCTCCTTTTCGCTCCTACGGCGTCTTCTACAGCAGAGCGGAGGATTTTCGCCCCCACCCACCCCCAACCCTGCGGTGTTTCGGGGGATTAGGGTTTGTGTCCCCCCGCCCTTTGCCGCCATTGCTTCTTGGATGTTGAAGGTCTCGCATTGTGGCTCCAGGTAACCTGTTCCGCCCCCCCCCTCCCCTCCCCTCCCCCTCCCCTCCCCTCGCCTTCTCTTGTTCTTTCTCGTTTCCATCATGATCATCGTCGCTGCTCTTTTTGGTTTTTTTCCTTTCTTTTTCGTTGCGACCGGCGGTAATGCGGGCCCGCGCGAGGGAGGACGGAGAGGTGCGATTCGACGTCCCGGTGTCTCCCTTCCCCCCCTGGGTTTTTTTGAGCTTCCTCTTTTGCTGTTCTCGCGCCTGGGCGTCTTCGTGCGGGGGGTGTTCCCTTCTTCTTCTTACGGAGGGCGGCGTCGGTTTTCCCCCTTTTGTTGTTTGCCTTGGAGTTGTGCACGGGGTCGTCGGATCCCCTTTTTTGGGCGCTCGCGACGCCCTATCTGCTTGTTGACGCGATGAATGCGCGCGCGCCCGCGCCCCCCCTCGCGTGTCTGGGTTGGCATTGTGTGTGGTGCGCTGAGTGGGTGTGTGAGGTTTTCTGTGCGCGCGCGCTTCGTCTGCTGGCCGTGTTGGTTTGCGGGGATCCTTGCGTCGCGGGTTTCGGGAGGTCTGGTACGGCGTTCGAAGCCTGACCCCCGGATGCCGCGGAGGCTGCGCCTTTGCTCTGAAAAAAAGGGGAAAACGGAACGGAATGCGTCGGAATACCTTATATCGGCTTTCTTGGTCGAGAGGTTGTCGGTTCGGTTACGTAGAATCTGTATGTTCGGTATAATCTTCGTGGTACCTTCGGAAGTTTGCTTGTCGCTGTGACTGTTACGACTGTTTCTAACTTGTTGCTCTTAATTTGTCGTTGCGGAGGCCGTACGATTGCCTCTATAACCTGCTTTTACTCACTCATTGGGATCTCCGTGGAAATCGAATAATCAATGACGGTGTCGGTTGATTCTCTTCATGTGTGATTGATCTCAAATACGGGAAGCCGCCGATGCTACGAACATAGAAAAAGTTGAGAACGTGCCCACTTGGGACTCTCGAAAGTGCTTGCAAAATAATTTTTGTTTTGCCAGAAAGCATCCGATCGAACAGGATTTCGGCTATAAATTCCCATCCTCTTTCACCATCTCCTGTCCCCAGTATTACTTTCTTCCTTAGTACCGAACCCACTTAGCACGAAAACGTTTGATTCTTTTTATGTGTAAACCATGCTTCCGATTCATTGGTCATCTTTCTTTTGAGTTGTCTAAAGCACTTGAAGTGCTACATAGTTTCCTCAATCATCTTTTGCTAAATGAGAGGAAGGAGTGCACTGGAGCATATTGAAAACTGTGGTTTTAATACTGAAACTTCTTTGCTCATCTGATGCTCAGGTCATGTGAAGACAGCCACTTCGACCATATCATTGCTTGCAAACTCGAAGGTGTGGTCCACTGTATGAGGAAGATTCCACATTAGCCCTGGTTTCTTTGCGTGCAGGAATAGTTCATAATTGCCTCTTCTTATAGATATATGGCTGTTTAGGCTTTAGAAAAAGTAGGAAAGAGGTTTTTAACCATATATTTCCTATTGTTATCCTCCGTGCTGCTTGTTTGACCTTGGCTGTGGGCCTTGTGGTGGAAGTGGCTTATAAAGAACATCGATTTTTCATTCTCTGGTTGTTTCGTTGACACACAATGATGCTGGGTTCGTGGACTTGTCCTCATGAAGTACACTCTTATTCTTTTAAGTAGATCTTCGTTAGCTGTATGTTGTTTGACTTCTTTTCTAGAAAGTGACCTGTTTTCGTCTACCAAAATGTTTCGATATGGCTTGTGTGGGCATGCATTTAAAGCAAGATCTTGCTGTGATGTATGTAGTTTGACCTTTTTTCCCACAGTGGGACTTGTTTTCATTTACTGAACTGTTTCGATTTGGCTTGTGAGGAAATTCATTTTGTGCAAGCTCTTTGTTGGAGCAAATCTAACTGTGGCGGTCAGGCATTCGTATCTTTTTGCATGATCGTATAAATCTCTTCTTACTTTTGTGAAGTGAGGTATCCGTCAGCGTGGTTCCTTTCATTAGGACGAGCGTATGCTGTCAAAGTAGAAAGCCTGTTCATTTTGTTTCTCGCCTTGAGTATTCGTCATGTGTGTTTGTCGTGTCATAACACATTCATGCGTGTGTTCTCCTATGTTGCTTTCTATTCCTTTTGGGTGCTTTGGTGCTCATACGATTGATAAAGGGTGTGTTTTTTCCTCTTGAAAGTCAGTCCCATTTCAAGGAACGTTCACTCATGTCACCCTGGCGTGAACATTACCTTTTTTTTTTTTTGTCTAGATGTAATGTTCCAAGTTAAGTTGGACTTCTGTTGCGGTGTTTTGAACTCGTATGCTTGTGCTCTTTAGGACATACCTCTGCAGGATGGGAAGCGGCTTCTAAAAAGGGTCTCTGTTGGTTTGAACTGCAACGCATTGGGATGGCACAGTGGGTTTCTGATCGTCAAGCTCCTTTTAGCGATCAGGATGGAGAAAGGAAGCCTAAACTTTCTGCTTGCATCGCGAAGGATGATCTGGGATATGATGAGGGGGAAGCTGCGACTGCGGAAACCCTCGCAATGCAGGAAAATGCGAAACGAAAGCATCATTTTCAAGATGTCAAACCACATAAACGTGGAAAGGAAAAGCAAAAGAAGAGTACACAGGTCAAACCCAAGGCAAAAAGGCGTCATCGTCCTGTTGACAGATGGTCAGCAGAGAGGTGAGATCAGAATTCTTAGTTAATAATTCGGCTTTTCCATTTTTTGGAGAAATTTTATTTATTATTTGTTTTTGGATTATGAAGGTATAAGCAAGCGGAACAAAGCTTGCTGGAGATCTTGAAGGCAGAAGGGGCTGTTTTTGGTAATCCAATTAGACGACCAGAACTCAGATTAGCTGGTCGTCGACGAATTGGTGATACTGGGCTGCTTGACCACTTATTGAAGCATGTTGATGGTAAAGTGGCGCCAGGTGGGAAAGATCGATTCAGGCGATGGCATAATACAGATGGAGTTATGGAATATTGGCTGGAAAGTGCTGATTTAGATGATATTCGCCGTGAAGCAGGAGTGGAGGATCCTTATTGGATTCCACCATCAGGATGGAAACCTGGGGATACTCCTGCAGAGGAGCGTGTTTCAGTTGCAGAATTCAAGAAGCTTAAAGAAGAAATGGCCAGTATGAAGAGGTAAATTTGTTTGGAAGGATTGACTCAGCCAAGAAACTTACCTTTTGTAACAAGTGGTTCCTTCTTGTTGTGTTGCCAGAGATTTCGAAGAGCTGGTGGATAAGAAGCCTGGGCAGGGACAACTTAATCTAGTGGAGGTGCCTGTTAATCATCAGTAAATATAAGTACTCATATCCTTCCCTCTTTGCCTTATATTGTTCTATATCTGCCTCTTCTGTTAGCAGGAGAAGTACAAAGAATTGATGAACTGGAAAGCAAAGACCAGTCAGCGTTTGATGGAAATATCTAGTTCTTTGAGTGGCATGCAGGTGGTCTACTTGTTTGGTTGCTATGAGTTTTTATTAACATAGATTCTCGGGGTTTAGTGTCTTGATATTCTAGCAGGGGATGTACAAGGATTTGATTGCATGGAAAACAAAAACTGAGCAACAACTCACGGAACTTTCCAATTCATTGAGTATCATGGCTGCGAAGCAGCACAAGACAGCTCTGAGTCCTCCGGCATCAGAAAAATGGGAAGATTGGTTGGAGAGCACTAACTTGGATAACATTCAAGCAGAGGATATCGGACCTTGGTTGCAGAGTGCTGATGTTGGAAATTTCGAGAGGGAAGTTTTGATGCAGAATCCATTCCCTTCTCTGCCTCGACCAAAGCCCATTGATGGTCCCTTGCAGAATTCAACGTGTGCTAGGGAGTTGGAGATAGCAAAGGAAGAAATGGCTATGTTCAGGTAAAATTTGGGATTCTTGGATCAAAAAATGACATGTTACTTGAGATTCACCCCATATATCTTTCATGGTCAGAGATTCGTGGGATCTTGTACCCAGGAAGCACGATGGAGCTATCAATAACGGGAAACAAGGTGCTTTCACCGTGAACTCAAAAGTGGAGCTCGATAATTCATTCCTTCTGTTGCAGGTAAAATCTTTAAGCCTTTCAATTGGACTATGTGGTCCAATATACAAGTAGGTTATATGCACATAATTTGACTTTCATTCAGCGTTTTAGTTTATGCAAATCTAATGTTGAAATCTTGTTTTCATTAAGGAAATGTTCAAGGAGTTGGCGAAATGGAAAGGCAAGGTGGAGCAGCAACTGATGGAGATTACCAATGCTGTTAGTAATATGCAGACAGCGAGGCAGTTTACTTCATTTGGACCATCAACCTTTTATCTGTGAAGAAATCTGACATTGTAATTGGAATCAGGCCTCTAGGCCATGGAAGTAAACTGGCAAACAGAACAGTAGGAAATTGTAGGATTTAGATTTTGTACAGGACTTTACTAGCTGCCTCAGTTACCAGTGCCTAGCCAATAGGACCAACATCTAACTTATATTGGGAGTCGCAATTCTGATCGGCCGGAGGAGCTGCACCAACTCTTGAGGGTACATAGATGCGAAGATTTGGTGCAGATCGGAGCAACTTTCTTATGGATGCTATAAAGTTAAGAAGTGACCTTTCAGCTTCTGTGACTTGTGTAGGTATTTCATGTCAGCTGATCAGTTAATTGCAAAGTTTCCCTATGATAGTATTTGGATTGTTTGGATATGTTAACTTATTTGGTCCTTCTGATGAAACATTTTATGGCCTTTTTTGGTAAAGTTATTTGTCAATGCTTATCGTGGATGGAACATGGAATCGGGTTTTTGAATGTGATCAGCAGAGCAATGGTGGGATTTGCTACTTTTGACAGTTGATCAGTGGTTACGAGCTTAGAGGAACCGATATCGAGTTTTTGAAGGTCTCATCGAGTGAGGGTGACTTCACCGGACGTTCCTGGCTCAAATAGTTAGGTTGCCCACTTAACACACTGCACCTCACTTTGATTTTGATATTGGTTGTCTGATTGGATAATACGCTCACTCCTTAACAATAGAGGCTAGAATTGAACCGCGGTTCTTAATCGGTTTTGAACTATGGCATGAAATGATCAATCGGGCAGTCCAACCAATTTCTTGGAGATCTGTATCAAGAAAGCAGAAAGTTTCCATAGTTTGCTCTCGGTCTTCCGGACTTTATAACCACATCGAAGATGTGCGATGAGGGTTGTAACTTTCCATTTGAGATCCCGACACCAATTGTTTGTGGTTTCACTTGGTATCTTTCGCCAGATTTGAAGTGTTCCCCTGGCAGCATCTTACTATGACCTATTCATGTTTGTGCTTGTTTGTCATCATCGGCGAGCTTCTCTCATGTCGATTCATTCTGTTAGCTTACGGGAGTTTCCACTCCAGTTCATTCGAGTAACCTTCTACTGGTTACTCACGACTTTTTTTTCCCAAATTTTGAAATAGAAGAACTTTCCAAGCAATTGAAAAAAAGTATTGAATAGAATATCAATATATGCATGTTTTAAGAGGTTTCGGGTTTTTTTTTTGTGGTAAATGAGGGTAAAATCGCGAGTCATAATATTAGAAGGAAAAGCCAAAAGTTAAAATCACTTTCAATAGAGCGGTACTCCAGGGTTTAATTTTCCCATTTTCTTGTTATTACTGTTGTGTTAATCTCGCGTAATAGAAAGGTTTAAGCGATGAAGATGAAGTGTCAGCCTCTCAGACGCATCAAAATAAAGGCTTAGACTATCTTACCTTTCGCAGGACCATGCATATATACATTTATACTTGTGCACACCAAAGTAACGTGGGATTAAGTTCCTAATTGGCACAATAATTACTCATAAAATTTTTTCCGAATATATTTAATTTTACATAAAGAAAGTCCGACGAGTCAAATTTTAAGTACCGTGCATGGTATGAAGATCTTATAATGTCATTTTACATCTTAGTCTATTAGATCTGATATATACCATATTTCGATTGATCTTCCATCAATAGACATGAAAATTAATGATAGAAAATGGTACTTTTTTTTTTTTTTGGGTCAGATAGAGAAGGGTACTCAAGAAAGGAGATAATTTTCCTTCTATACAGATATGGCTAAGATTTCGGCTCCCTTCCTTTCTTACTAAGAGAATTAAAAGAACTCCCACCGAAGAGAGTGGAGTGCCACAACCCCTCCTAAACCTATAAATTCAAAATTCAGATTGTTGACAGGGGAGATTTTCTTGTGCTTCCTCGGCGCGTTTGCTCCTCGTTCTCTTGCAATTGCAGTATAAAGAACTCTCTCCCTCTCTCTCTCTCTCTCTCTCTCTCTCTCACACCCAATATTTCTGCGCCCCTTCTTTGTTGGGGTTGAGTCCATTCGATCGGTCTCGAGAGCATATAAGGTGGGAATGGGAGAATCCTCTGGTTCAAAACCCTGTCTTGATGCTGACATCTGGGCTAAGCTTGGTATTCTTCTTCTCCTTCTCTCTCTTTTTCCATTTCTTTTCCCAGTTTTTTTGCCAGGAAGCGTGCGGTACTCGTTAAAGATTTCATTTTTACCCTTTGTTCACTTCAAGAGCATGCCGTGATTGAGAAAGAATCCTCCTTTTCGTCAGTTGCCAAGGCTGTTGCGTTCGTGGTTTAGTTGGGTATCGGTCTTTGTGGGATATCCGTCTGTTATGAAGAAGAATGAACTGTGTAGTGCCGTATCTTCACGTGTTTTTTTTTTTCTTTTTTTCTGGGTTGTCATGCAATTTATCGTTCTCTTTGACATGCGCGTACCGAAGGAAAGCTTACGGACATAAATGGAGTGTGGGTTAGGTGGAACCAAAGGCTCGTTGGAAGTACCGCTGAGATGTTAGTTGGCATCGAGGAAAGGGTTGGCACTTTGCTTTATTGCCACATTTATTTTTGTCTCAAGAAAATGATCAAGGGTCCGAATTGTTGGAGTTGAGCTAGCGAAAGAAGATGAAGAGCTACAAGCATAGGCAAGAGGGCAAGCCCGCTTGATAGGATTAAGCAAATGAACTTTACTAAACTTGAGAAGTTGATACATCTTGTGTTTTAAGCAACTTAGTCAACATACTGTTGAAGGAAACTAATTTGCCTAGATGAGGAAGAAAGCTCAATAACAAAAGAGAGGAAGAGAATCGAGGAGCTGATTTAAAGAAAATGACATTATCAGCTGAATGTCACCTGAGACCATTGGATAGTTTACTTATTCACTGTTTTCTATCACAAATTTTGAAGGGATGAGCTACATAAACCTCTTATTTATGGAAACATTTTGTACCTAAGGATTTCAAATATCTACTCTTCTAGCACCATGGGTCTAAAGTATGGTTTAGGCAGGCACTTTTGATTGGGAAACATTAATGTGGCTTCTGTGAAAAGTCCACTATTGGGCATCAGTCAGCTTCTTAACCTTGCTTGTGGAAATGATTTGTGCTATAGTTATGAGAAAAACAAGTTTGGTTCTAATTTGCTATGAGAAACATCTCTTCTCCAAATAGGCCAAGCTGGCAAATGGGACAAATAATTGTAGGCATGCATGTCACCTCATGAAATTTGTCCACAGATTTCTTGTCTAGCCATAATGAGAATTAAATTGGAGATTGCAGTCAAGCAAATTACGACACATAGGTTTTCAACATGCTACTTGAAAAGCCTTGGCATCCTTAACTTCATGCCTTTTGAGAAGGGAATCTTTAATGTAAAGGATCCAATGAAAAAAATAGAATCTGTTTGACATGTGTCATTTACTTACAGAGTATGGTTTCTATGTCTGATGCCAGATGCCAGATTTGACTTGCTCTGTTCCAAATTGCAGTTCCAGCAGACTCAAGGTACTCAGTTGTTGACATTGGATCAAATGAGACTGTTGTCTACTCAGAGATCTCATGCTCTTCCAGAAACAAGCATGAGTGGTGCAAAATAACTAGGAGTTTAAATAAATCTTCTGCTATGATTCAGAACAAGAGGTATAGTAAAAATCCATGGCATGTGAGCAAAAGTTTCTTGCTTTGTTTATTTGATACTTTGTTTTTGCTCCTTTTTATCTTCAATGTAATGGCGTGTTGTGCTCTTGCCAATGTTGCTTTTACCCTTGAAATGAGACATTGTTTGTCATCTATTTGTTTTTATTGTTTAACTGAGGTGGCTAAATCAATTGTTTCTTCATAGACCAATTTCCACTGTTACTCCATCTTGTTTATTCCTTTGTCAAATTTATGGCTTCCGCAAGAATTGAGAGGGAAATCATATTATTGCTTTTGGAGAAACCATGGCGTGGACACAAAGAAAGTACCTAATGAAGATCCTCTACATCATTAGATAACTTAAGTAGAGACAAGGGTATTTTAAAAATGGTACAAGGAAAACGAAGAACAGGCAGTGAAGAAACAAAACGATTGTTTTTAACCCTGAGGGTGGTTTTCTAAAAAATGGTTGCGTTCCTAGTTACTCTTCTTTCAATAGATGAGCACTGAGTCTGTACTGAGAAAGAGAGAGGATGGAAATGAATACTTCATTCTAGCTGATGGATAATTTTACACTTCTAGGAACTGCTTTTCTGTGGACATCTTAATGCTAAACATTGTTCCAGAAAAGGATTTGATTGGCATTGTTTAATGAAAGGGTGGATAGGACAATGAGAAATCCGTCCATTTCATCATGTAAACTCCTTTTGTACTATTTAATTTAATTTTTCTAGTAGTAAGTTACTGGCTTTCATCAAACCAAATGATTACTTTGCTTGGCTCTTAAATCCTTGAATGTCTTACACTAAATTTTGTAGTTAGGGAAATGCAAATACGTGCAGCAAGCTTAGTTTTACTGGGGTAATTTGTCAACAATCTGCTTTAGGTAGCTCTCACAAGGATTCATTTTGAATATTGCTATCATGGATCTATACTTTCATTGTTGCTGCAGCCTTTCCCATATTTGCACTTCTGCTATTGTTGAAACCTTTGACTGATTATGTTATTTGCTGCTTTAGTTTTTTTTCCTTCCCCTTTTCTTTGTTGATTTTAAGGTTTCATCTCTGGTGGATTTTGGCTGATGTAGCTCAACCACGATTCTTATTGATGGAGCGATTGTTCAAAGTGAAGACATTATGCTCATACAGTCTGGAACTGAAATTATTCCAGGGCCTGATAGAGAAGGTCAGCTTAGTGTTTTCTTTACACTGAAATCTGCTTTGTCTAACTTATTATGATTTTCTTCGCAACATTTTTCTGCTCAAGTTTGTAATTTATTTTTCTTATTTGGTGCGATCAGAGGGCTTAATAAATGATAGTATTGGATGGAGGGCGTTAATGCATCTGCTATTATCTAATTAAACGCTATTGTTGTTTCCATTTACAGACTTGGATCATTAAATCATCTTATTTGTACTTGTGTGGTGCGTACGATTCTCAAATACCTCGAATGGACAACTTTTGGCTTTTTTTTTTTTCATTGTCGAATGCGTTATTTATGCAGGGCATCTGAGCTATAGATTTGAAATGATCCCCGCTGCAGAGCGTTGTGAGAAGCGGTTAAAGGTTATTAAATATTGAATCATGTCTTTATGGGTGTGTAAATAAATGTTTGGCTGTCTGTCGGAATCTAGATCAGTTAATGTATGCATTTTGGTCTTCCAGATCTCTATAGACATTGAAAATGCAAAATGTGGCATTTGCTTGAACATATGGCACGACGTCATCTCCGTTGCCCCTTGCCTTCATAACTTCTGGTCTGTCTGGAACTTAATCTCTTCCTGGTCAATAGTATGGTACCTGGGCATCAATTGGCCTGTCCTTGTGCATTGCAGCAATGGATGCTTCTCTGAGTGGTTAAGGAGAACTCAAGAGAGACATGTGACAGTACTCTGTCCCCAGTGTAGAGCAGTTGTGCAGTTTGCTGGGAAAAATCACTTTTTACGTGAGGTTGTGGAGGTAATACTTTGTTTAAGCATATTGATATGCCAAATAGCAATTTTTTTTGCCCCTTTTTTCCTGTTAAAGCTCTGTCCTTTAAAATAGTAGAGAACTTGTGAATGCAAAATGTTACTTTTCTTGAAGTTGGGAAATGGATAGAGTATTATGTCCAAAAAAAAAATGGACAGAGTATGTCACAATGTGAAATTGGGCGTTATCACATGGTCTAAGACTGTTTCTTGCCATAACTTATATATTGGACTTGCTCTACCAGCCAAGAATGAGTCTTATTGCCAAAAGCACCTTTTGATGAGGGGATTGGGTACATGTTTCAGTTTGGCCTTTTTGGATGCTGGCCAATATAAGAACTCAATATATTAAATATATGTGTCTAGCTCTTCTGAAGGTTTTCTTCATGGCATTCCTTGAATTTTGATTCCATCAAATGCCATATTTTCTTCAGAGCATGTTGTGCACTAATTTTGACAGTTGGAGCTCCCGTACTTACTGCTAATTTTTCTCTTTCTTTGCTTTTGCAATTCTTCCTGAGTATAGGATATACTGCAAGCTGATACTTCCCTAAGACGGTCTAAAGAAGACGTTGCCATTTTAGATTCACACTCGTTGATCCAATCAAATCTGGTACGTATTATACAGTCTAAAGAAGCTGTTTTGATTTCTCATCTTTTCCCTCATTGGTGGATGAGCTTAATGTACCAGTATAGAGTGCTTTATGGTATTCACCACTAATATCGGGACAGGAGTGAGTGCGAAGCTGGGATGGTGGAGCAAACCCTTAGCAAAAGGCATCTGGCAAGTAGGTCAAGAATGAAGTACATGGAAGCAAGATCAATTAAGGATGAGTTAAGAGTGGGGCAGTAGTAAAAATCAAAGGTGAAGAAGTACCAACAAGTGAACAATTTCAGTATGTTTGGTCCATTTTGGAAGGGGTCAATGGATTTGTTTTTGTCTGATGAAAGAGTGGTAAGTATAAAGATTTTATGGGACCATTATAAGGCTTTATACTCTATGATCAGCAGCGTTCAGGGCCTCAAGTATTGGAACTTATATAACATGAGTTTAGTTGAGAGCAAGAAATGAGTATCTGAGAATGTCCCGGTGGCTTTAGTTGAAGATATGGTGGGAAAAACCTAGTCAAGGTAGTTTGGACATGTTAAGAGACAGTATATTTCGATGAGAAGATGTCCATTTTGGGTTGGAAAAGGAGTAAGGTGGGCTAATAATTTTTATGTGAATAACTTAAAGGATCTTGATCTAGTAAGTATTCAGGAGAAATGATACTTTCTATAGAGATCATCATAATAACCATCTATAGAAGTAAAAAACTTTTGCTGTATTTTTGTGGTCGTGGTGTGCCAGTTATTATTTTCTTCACAGCATCTAAGCATCCATTCACAGAGAAATTTCCATCACTAGCTGAGGTAGATTGATCTCTCAAGAACAGAATATTATCGAATAATTTGAAGATTACTTGCAAAATAGAGGGACCTGATTGGGGCAGAATTTTTTGCTTCAGCTTGTAGTCGTTTACTTGAGTCGTCTCAGCGTCTTGGTCATGCTTTGGCAGCACTGTAGATGGTGGACTGTGGAACTGGTTTGTATAAAATTAGCATGACCGTGGATGTTATTTATTTTTTTTGGTCGAAATGACCGTGGATGTTGCATACTACTTTTCTTAACCCCTAGGATTTTCCATTCCTTCTGTATCCACAACAATTCTCAATAGAGCAGTATAGTTTATTTCTTCTCATCCACCTTTTATATGTCCCACATCCCTCTCTCCATATTGAGTGCATGTTTATGTGCTGCTATGTTGGGGTTTTATACGTTTTTTGAGGGGGAAGGAAGGAGGGGGGGGGTTGGGTTGTCTATTGTTTTCCTCAAAGATCATAACACATCTTAAAAGATATTACTGAATTTCATGTCCAAAGTTTTGTGGCTGACTTCTCTTTTTTCCTTCCTTTAGTTGTATGCTTTCCATTATCTTTTCAGTTATTTGGTCCTTTGCTCCCTTGAATTTCTTCTAGGTTTAATGGCTACTCTTGGATATAGAAGGAACAGACACGCTCTTCTTTCTGGACAACAGAATTTTGCTATTGAAAGTCTGTCTAATTAGAACCATGTTATTTGCAGGCATTAATCCTTCTTTTTCATATTTGAACTTGCCATCCTTAAATGTCCTTATTCACTTGTTGCATGCTTTTTTTGTTTACTTTGTGGGTCCTTTTTGTCTTCCACTTGTCTAGAAGGACGTTCCTAGTGACTGAAAGATAGAAGTGCTGAAGAGAATACACTTATCTCACAGGCTTATGAATTATTAGCCTATTTCACTGTAAATTGGTTGATCATACTTCCCGAAATTCTTTCGGACTTATAGATTGGACATTTCCTTGGTTCTTAGCATCAGCGTGGAGCACAGCTGGGCCGGGGGCATGTTTTAGCAATTTGTTGGCCTGGTATGGAATATTCGGGCTTGGGCTATTCTCCACCAAGGACCTGGCCAGTCCAAAGCCATGCCATTTGGTCGGGACCAAACAAGATCGGGCCATTTTGGGCTGGTCCTGGCCAAAGCATAAAATTTAAAAAATGTTTCTTTTTCCTTTTTTTTTTTTTTTACTTTTCATGTGCAAAAACCTACATAAAAATTTCAAATAGCATGTACTAAAACCAAAAACCTTGAAGACATCAGAACAGGCTTGTAAGTACCTGTTTTGCTATTGTTAAAGAGTGAGGGAGAACAAGACATGAGCAAAATAGTGCGTCTATCGTTTGTGTTGTAGCTCGTTGACGTGGGAGTGAGACATGAGAAAGAGAGAGACTGCAAGAGCGGGCGCGAGGGAGCATGAGTGAGGGAGGAAGGGAGGGAGAGCATATGGTGAGTGGTGGGGTTCAATGGTGGTAAGGTGGTGACTGGACGACTCAGCAAGCGTGAGACACGAGAACGGGGGAGATCGAGATGTGTGTGTGAAAGGGAAATGACATAGGCGGCCCCCTGAGAGAAGAAAATGGGAGGGATCTGCTGTTCTAGGGTTTTAGACATTAGTGTATATATATCTTTTTTGTTCTGCTTAATGAATCAGGCTGGTCTGGCCCGAACTCAAAGACATGTTCAGGCTGTATAGCCTGGCCTGGTACTATTGTGCCCAAAAAATCAGGCCAGGCTGGGTTTTCGGGCCTCAAGTTTTATTTGCACACGCCTACTTAGCATAGTTCTGAGATCATAGCTTTATCAATTTATGTCTTTATTTTGCAATTTGTCAGGTTATAAGCAGTGGAAGAAAACGTAAAAGACCTCCCTTGGCAGCTGATGCGCAAACTTCTGGTCTTGATCTTTCATGCCCACAATGTGGTAGTAAAAATTTGATTCTCCATTTGCGGCACAACATAGTTGACAGAATCAATTTTTCCTTTATCAAACGCTTTTTTGCATTTTCCGCGACAGAACCAAGTATTATGTTTGAGAAGCTCTTTCTGTATCTTGCGTTAATTTCAAGTATCATTTTCCATGACAGAACCAAGTATTATGTTTGAGAAGCTTTTTCTGTATCTTGCATTAATTTCAAGTTCTGCATATTTCCTTTTCCCATGTTAAAAGCCTTCTAAATGTTAAATTTGTACCCTAGAAAGATTATGCATTAATTATGCATCTCTTTTGACTGCATCTACGGTCCCCTCAATACCCAAAAAAGGAACGAGTTTACCTTGCGATATTTTTTTTTAATTTTTTTTAATTTAGATTTATATATGATGCAGCAATGTGATTGACTAGTTTTCTGCGTGAATTAGGCACTGAATATGGTGGGTTTTGCTGCAATCAGGATACCGTCCACATACCATGTCAAGCATGTGGAGGAATGATGCCTTCCAGATCAAACATTAGTGTACCACAACACTGTAAGCACCTAGCAAACCATCCACCAGCCCACTCCTTTATTTGAGCTCGGAAAGTTCTTGTATTGGCTTTAGTTTCATCCCCATCTAGGCCTTTTGCCATTCTTAATTTTCCTCCTAAACTGTCAATACTTTTGAATCCATTGGCCGATTTTTGGTAATAAGGCTACTTTTATTTCTCCGAAATTTAGTCGTCGGAAAAGTTTTTTGTCGTTTTCCGGTGTTAGGATTGCTTAGGAAAACGAGTCAACGAAAAATCTACACTTAAAATAAGGAAAATGACTCAATTTTTTAAATCAAAAATCATTTTCCAGAGTACAACATGACCTCCACATCCACAAGTTGTCTTGGGTGGTTGGACCATTTGCCTAGCTGATGGACCTGGGGACCTCGATGCCTGAATCTGGGTCCTCAAGTGGCCTGATCTTAGTTTTTCAAGGCCCTGACTCGGACCTTGGCACCCAGACCCAACAGCCTCAACATGTTTTGGCCCTTGGACCCACAATGAGACTCAAGTCCCTATTGTCTAGACCCAGATCTGCAAAGCTATACTTAAATTTCCTTGGACCCACGACCCCATCACGCCTTGGCCCTGGGTCTTTGTGGCCTAGACTTGGGGTCTCGATGCTAGGACCTAGGTCCATGCAGCCCCGAATAGGAGACTTGGTGGTCGAGACTTGAGACCATGTCACCTGGACCTTGGTCCCATCATTGTACTCGAGTCTTTTTTCTCAAGTGTGTTTTGATTTTTCCGGTAGCACTTCAAGTTTGTTTGTTTCGTGGAAAATGAATGATTTGGAAAATATTTTCCTAACAATGTTTGTTTGTGTTGCTTGAAAAATGAGTCAATAAAAAAGGTTTTGACTGTCCACAACAATCTACGTTTATATATTTCTATTGATAATGCAACAATTTTTTCGTTCATTCATTTTTGTAAGGGATCCTTTTTAGAATAATGTTTTTTAAATATTTGATTTTTAATAAAACAAACTCACATATGAAAATTTTTTCCAGCAAAGTTCATTTTTCTCAAAACCAATGGAGCCTTAGAGCTTAGCAGTCTATTTGGTTCGGGAAACTGTTTTGGATTTTTATATTCAGTGGAAAAGCAAATGAAATCTGTTCGCTATTCCAGTTCTCCATTTTTTTAAAACATGTTTGGTTTGTGAAAATAAAATTCTCATCACGAATAAAAATGTTAAAAGCATGTTTGGTTGTATTGATTTTAAGGTTAAGATGCACATTTTCATTTAAAAACTAGTTTTAAATTGAAAACAAGTGAAAACAACTCATTTTCTTTTCAGTTTGTAGTTACAAAAGTGAACAATTTCCCCTTCCGTTTATCTGAATAGTTTTCAGTTTGTGATCAGATTTATTTTTAGTTCTTTTTTTAAATGCATATGAAAATGGAAAACTAGACCAGTTTCTTATGCCGGCCAATTGGTGACTTGATATAGAATCGAAGGCAATGATATCAAAGGACTCGTATATTAGAACTAACTTGTTGGGATCAGACTTAGTTTGTTGTTGTGATTGTATAGTTATTTCTTGTCATTTTGTAATTTGGCAGTTGATTACTTAAAATTATTTTTCATCAGCTAAGTTGAATTTGAAAGACCAGCATATCCATGGATGACTCTGTACGACAGAAAATAGCAGTAAATTAGGGATGTAATTAGCAACTTAAGGATGGGTCTAATTGCTGTAGCCATCGGCTGCAAACTGTCCTATTATGGGATATTGAGCAGTGATACGATCTAAGATTCTGCTACAGTTTCATTGGAATGCTGTATTCTTTTTTCACAGAAATGCAATGCGATCCAATGTTTTGACATTGAGAAGTGGGCAGTTGTCAAATGAGCACTTGCGTGGAAAGATAGATATTAAAGTGGACCCTAAAAGATTTCAGTAATGAATTGATGCTTGTTTCCTTTTTACATAGATATGCTGTGGCTATTTTGGACATGCTGGAATGTCGTACCTCTTTTGCAGGTTTGGGATGCAATAGAGCATTTTGTGGTGCTTACTGGCACTCTCAAGGGGTTGCAAGAGTTGAAGGTCACCCTCTTTGCGTGTATGCCAGTTTTAAACCTGTATGTGGAGTTCTCTACATTCCCATTCTTGTCCTATTGGGATTGTTTTTCTCCAATTGACTCTTGCTTCGTTCGACTTTTTTCAACTACTTTTATACTTATCTTTCTGCTGTTCTCCTTGTTGGCTTGTAATATGAGGATTTTCACTTTAGTCATGCTACTCATAGAGTGGAGTGATCTAGAGTCTAGGCAGCCACTTGTTGCTTGTTTGCTGGATGATATCTTGCAGTATTTTCTCGTTAATCTCCTATGCAAATATATCAATGAGAAATTGGTTTCTTGAGCCACAAATACAACTATTGGCATTTGCTGCAGATCATGGAGCGGTCTATCTCGAGAATTCCATTCACTGCGCATGAAACAAATAGATGTGAGCAAGATGTATGAACTCCATCATCGGTAATTCTACTGTTTTTGCATAGAAGGCAAGTCTATTCAACTTTCTTTTTTCAACATTCTGTAGATCACAGAGAGGTCAATTAGACAACTGGGAAGAACACTCCAAGATGTTATCTCTGAATGGATTGGAAAATTTGACAATCGTGAAATAGGTGAGTCGATTCAAGTGTTCATGTTTAACCACGATTAATGTATGGTTTGCTGACATTCTCTTTTAGTTGAGTACCTTCATTTTCTGTGTCATTCACATATACAAACTATGAGGACATGTGTAGTGATGAGGGAAGGGGATTGTGCCTCACATTTACAAGCAATAAAGGCATGAATGATGTAGTTCTCACATCAGTGAAAGCACATTGAATATATAAGTTCGCACAACTAGAAGGCTACTTCTTTTTTTTTTTGGTCGAAAACTATAAAGCTACTTGAAAATTTCATTTTTTGTTAAAACTGTACCTCTTTTCTTGGTAGTGGGGGAATTCACTATCACTAGTATTGGTCAGCATAAGGTTCCTATGTAAACTCTGTACTGTTTTAATAGACGAAGCTCGGATAATCTTAGATGGGAAGCTCAGACTATTGTGGTAAACTTTGAATCCAAAAATTTTGTTTTAATAGGTGCAAAGTAGAGTACATGGAGCGCAAGTTCTGAGAAGAGGAAATATGTAGCAGTGATGAGTAGTCGATATAGTACCAAGGACTGAGTTAATTCATGAGCTCGGATCAATTTTGTGAAAGGATGGAGAGGTTGATGTAGATGTAATCCCTAGAATATGAACTTCAGTAGATAAAATGAAGAACCAAATCTCAGGTATTTTGACAAATGAAAAGCCAGTGTAGAGTCTCGGAGCCTTGCATGTTTTTCTTAGTGCTGAAAAATACTTGTCTTTTTGAATTTTCGTCTTTTGACTCTCTGTCTAATTACGATTATTTTACTGTAAATTCTATGCTGGGTTCCCTTTATGGAGTCAATTGTTTACTTAGGGTGCATTTGTTTTGTGGAAAAAGAGTGACCTGAAAATATTTCCTCCATTTCCAGTCCTTTGGCATAGCTTAGGAAGACGAGTCAAGGGAAACATTTTTCATGGTCAGTAGAACTTGCTTAAATGCCGAAAAAATCATTTTTGCTAGTAAATCATTTTTTGTAATTCTCTTCAACCTCCACTACTGGTTTCGGCCATCCCAATTGCCTAGACCTAGGACCCCAGCTAGCACACTAGAAATTGATGTGCCCCAATTCTGGACTTTGGGGTCGGGATGCAGGACTTAGGCACTTCAACCGGTGACCCTGGTGTCAGGGCCAAGGATCCAGCACCCAGACCAAGTTTTTGGTGTCTGGGTTGATCCCCGATGCCTGAACCGGGACGTGCAACGCTGGACCCCTCATCTTGTTCAAGATAATTATGTTTTTACAGAATACTGTCTAATGCCAGTCCCGGATAGCACCTTGATTAATTCTACTGGGTGACAAACACCATAAAATAGTTTCCGTCTCATTTTAGATGTACGTCCATGCACTGGAAAGCGGAACTAAGTTTCCCTGAACTAGCTTGAAAAACATTTCCCGCAACATCAAAGTACCCTTCTATGAATCAATAATCTAATCACACTTGACCTGTGTCCTTATCTAATAGAATATGTATTATCTGACCAGATCGATCCAGGGTGCCACTTAATCATGCTGAGATGATAACTGCTGCAACACATATATGCAAGTGAGTTATCATTTCTACTTTGTGTGAGGCCTTTCTTTGTCACTAAGCTTTTAACATAAATGTTCGTCTGAACTGGGTGTTATCTTTTCTTGAAAGGGTTAAATTTCAACTCTGTCAGTTCGACAACTTTTTGGGTGCATGATATCTTTGCCATATATTTTAAGGCTGCGACATTGCTCATTATGTTCTGCTAGTGATTAGTTGCTGAAGGTAGTCCTCATGCCTAGACGAGTCGAGTGTCAGATCCTTTATGTCGTGAGTGTTTTAGATTTTCAGAGCTAGCCAAACTTTTAATGAAGTACATTATGTACTTGTCTATAAACTTGTATCTCTAGCAGCTCTTAGGAGCATGACTTAAGATGTTCCTTCTGCATTTTGCCATTAACCCGTTGAATGAACAGCACAACTTTGCTTGGCCTATTTCCTGACCTGACACACCATTTCTATTATGTATCAATCCGGTCTCCTTCAATTAATTGTAATGTGTGTAAAGCAGATTACTGTTGCCCCATGTTATCATATGTGCTGTTTTTCCCCCTGAGTCTTTGTGGTGAATGCAGTGATTGTTACGACAAATTGGTATCCTTCCTCTTGTACTGGTTCCGCTTTTCAATGCCTAAATGTGTAAGTATCTACAATTAAGCATTAAGATGATCTCTTTTTTGGTTTTATGTTTATCTCCATCCTGTGCATGATGAGTGGACCTTATCGTGTTAATGTGATGATTGATGTCCAAATTATAGAACGTTGCATCTTTATTGTCTTACCTGTGAAGATTCCACTACTGTGGCATGTTGTTCATTACTTCAATATTAGCTTATAGCTAATAGATTATAACCATTATCTCAGATGTCGTTGAGAGAAATAATTGATCCAAATGACAGTCGATTCTAAATCGAAATAGAATGTGGGTTTTAAATGTCCATGAAGTACATAATGTTATCTTAAACTCTCAGCTGGATTATTGAAGGGAAATTTCACGAACTCTTAGTTAAATGATAAAATACCATTAATTTGGTAATATTTGTAGATTCTAGAATTAGAGCACATTAGAATTGTATGACTTATCGCTTTGAGTTGCAGTCCCTCAAATCCATGGTACTCATTTCACTGTGTAAAGGTTGTCCAAGGTGAAAGCAGTTCATTTAGTATGTCATAGGATAAGAAGTCCAGCGATTTTGTAGTCAAAATGATAGGTCAACCATATGAATAATTGAGATGGCAAGCACATGTACTTTCACTTGATGATGTAATTTTCAATTTCTCTTAGAAATAAATTGCCACGGAGAATAATAAGGTTAGTTAAATCTCAGGGTTGTATTTGGAGGTAGCCTTTACTGAGAGAGAGGGAGGGAGGGAGGGAGGGAGTAGTGCTTCATATATGTTGATGATAACAACATTGTCCTTGAACACAATGAAAAGTCTCCGTTTGGTCTGTCATTTGCCTTCCTTACAATTGCAGGGTTGGTTGTATAATCAGCTGGTTGTGGACCATGATATTCTGTCTGAAATTAGAGTGGGAATGACTGAAGCAATTGAATAGATCTCTGAAAAAATTGAAGGGACATATGGTCTTCTCATGATGCTGCAAATCTGATATACTTGTAAAGTCCTGATTAAAGAATCTCTATCGTCTAATCTCTTCTTGATGTGCATGTTCACAGCTTCTACCACCAGATGCATCCAAGAGAGAAGATTGTTGGTATGGATATGCATGTCGGACGCAGCACCACAGTGAGGAACATGCTCGGAAAAGAAATCACGTTTGTCGTCCAACCCGGGGCACTCATCCGTAGGCCTTGTGTCGTGAATGCATCCTATGCGGTAGGCCTCCCATCATCGTGTGTGCATTTATGCTCTTCGTAGTTCACTTGGTTGCATTTTGTATGTGTATTTGGTCATGCGCATTTCGAATACGGACTATTTTATCAGTTGGATGTCTGATAGATGCTCTTAGGTTTTTTTTATTATTATTATTCAGAGTTAGGAGAAAAATCATATATTCCTGCAATGTCAATCGACTAGTCTGAGAGACAAATTTCCCGTTAGTTTAATTTAGAGGAGGTCTGGTCACTGACAGAAACATTTGCAGTTGGCAAATACGCACTAATTGCTGTTCAGGTCTGATGTCCAACCTGTGATCTTAAGCATGATTCAGACATGTCTGTTTTGTGCTGTGTAATATCTGTTTTAAAAGCCCCAGGTTTTGCTGTAGGGAAATAGCTAAACTTGTGCCCTTAATTCAATATATAGCAGTAAACATTAAAATCTCTCATAAGTTGGAGGGGGTTGATTGTTTATTGCTAAGTATATCAGAATGTGGGTGAAAGCAAGTCTAACACCATCGTTCATAATTAAAAAAATCTCAACGTGCCATTTGACGTCGTGAATGTCTGAATAATCCTCTATTTTAATGCATTTTAGGCTGCATTGGTACATGTATATCTGCTCATCCTCCAGATCCTGCCGGAATGCTCCTTGTATTCAACATTTGGTTGTGGAGGTTCCACATGAACCTATTTCAAGTTCGATCCCCTCCTTGTAGTTTGAATATTTCTTGGTCGTTATGAATTTTCGGGCCCTTGTACGATGACGAGACTTTTTTAATGGAAAGCGGTGAAAACCCTAGCTCCGTCAAATGGCGGTGACTCCAGCGCTAACTAGAAGGTCCGACGATAATGAGCGGATTTTGAGCCTTCTTTGATACAGGTTCTTCTGACCTGCTGGCTGGTGATTACTGCGGCGGTGATTGACATCACTTGGACATCGTTGCGATCCGTACTTGTGCATCGATAGCTGCCTAGTTCTTATGTGTTAGACATGTTACCTACGCAGATCATGACCTTGCAACGAAATGCATGCATTGTTTCTAGTATACTGTTAAGGATTGCACATCACTTCAGATCTCTGTAAAATTAAGATTCGGAGAACCTAGATGTACGACATTGTTCATGCCATTTGAACGAGATAGAAGAGGAGGGAGGCATTTATAGATGTGATTGAACGATTTTAGGGATTTTAAAAGGGTAGTTGTTTGGTGGGCGTAATAGCATCTGTTGATATTAAACAATTAATTATTTTTTGGTCGAAAATTAAAAAAAAATGAAGAAAATTGGATAACGACAAAAGAGCTAGGTGACATTTGGGCAAGAAATTTTTTAAAAAAAAATGACAAGAGATGGTACCTTTTGAATATTATATAGGTGAACAATTTTCCAGGTTTAGTACACATGTAGGTGACTCGAGATTCAATGGATGTCACATGGCCGGCCAGCAGCATTAAGCCTCACATGCAATTGAATTGAGTCCATTTTGACCATTTTGGAGATAAATTGATCAACGAACATTTTTGATTTTTTTAGTTGATGAAAAGGTTGGTGGAATCATCGCAACCCCCTCGCGCGCAACTAGGGGAGTTCAAGCACTTGCTAAGAAATATTCGATTTGAATTATAGCTATTCCACATTGTTCGTATTGGAAGAGATTCGGGGTTGATAAGTTTGGCACCATCGTCCCACCGACGTGCCAATGGATCAGGACTCTCCTTGTGCAAGGATGGACGAGTCTCCGTACAAAATTCGTCCTTCTCTTAGGAATCTGGCTAGTGCCCTTGCGGATGACATGTGAACGCCAAAGCCATTGAAGTGAGAGACCTCGGTGGCAAAAGAAGTAGATTCTAAGAAAACGAGAAACGTTCATGATGTTAAAAAATTAGGAGAATTGTATCAACATTTTAAACATTTTGTCAAGTCTTAAACATTTGAAATTGTATGATCAAATAGTAAATGTTTTTTAATTTGGTGCAATTAAGTCATTCCGATCACTGTTGAGCCAATTTTGTCGACGTGGCACGTCGGAGTCCGATGCGGCGTTCTTTTACTATTTTGAGCATATATGGCATTGTCGTGGCGTTGCTGCTTAACTGAGAAAAGGTCAATTCTTAGAACAGAAGGACAAATAAGAAATGCAAATATTTAAAAAAAAACTAAAAAACTAAAAAAGAAAAGGAAAGAAAAATAAACCAACAGGAGAGAGAGAGGGGTTCGGGGGGTTTGACAAATTGCCACCACCCCCACATTGCCTGCGGGTGATGATTTTCTTCTGGTAAAATAGTACAGATACTTCATGAATTTTGATCCAGTATTTCATGAACTTTGATTCAATATACGGTACGTCTCTAAATTTTTAATTTATTCAATGTGGTCCCGGAATTTAAGTTCAATGGGCAATATTATCCCTGAGCTTTTAATTTATTTAATATGGGTCATGAACTTTTAAATATTTTCATATAATTTAGAAATTATATTAAACATTTACTAATAGTTCATGGATCATATTAAACAGATTAAAAGTCTAGGGACTATATTAGGGGTATGCAAAGGAACCGGGAACCGTTCAGACAGCCCGGAACCGGATCGGACCGGCCCAGAATCGGTGGTTCCCAAGGGAACTGGTTCGGTTCCCGATTATAATTTTTTGGAACCGGTGGGTACCGGTCCGGTTCCCGGTTCCATGTGTGCAACCGCCCACCCGCCCACCTGGACCAAACCGATAATATATAATTTAATTTTTAAGAAAAATTTCTGACTAAAAGAGGAAGAAATTTTAAGAAAAAAATGAAAACCTTAAAATCCCAAATTTGAAGCTCAACACCCATCAATTGAGTGCTCCTCTTGTCTCACTCTCACATTGTTTGAGTTGTCTCTCTATCTCTCACTCACGGCCTCGACTCTCAAGCTCAACGTCCATCGACTCACGGTTGCGTCTTGGGCTGTTCATTGCCTCCCTCTCTCGCTCTCGGTCACCTCCATTTGAGTGAAACTTGATGGGACCGGTTCCATGGACCCACCCGGGAACCAGACCGGTGGTCTGGTTCCCAGGTGGGTCCATGGAACCAACGGGCAATTCCCTATTTCAATTTTTCGGAACCGGTCCTTAGTGAGCAATTCCCAGTTCCAAGGTGAGAACCGCCCATCTGGACCATATATTACACACTGGGTTAAAGTTCAAAGACCAAAACACACAAATTAAAAGTTTAGAAACGACATTACATATTGGACCAAAGTTTAAGGATCATTTGTGTTATTATCCCTTTTCTTCTAATCAAATTAGTAGTCGGGATTATCGGGGTCTTAAGTAATAGGCCTTGAGCGCATTGCAAATCGGGGTGGGAATGGGAAGAAGCAGAGGATAGTTGTCTGGTTGTCTTTGGCTAATGCCTTACATCTTTTCTCCTCCTTCGCTTATATTTCCACACCATTCCCCTGGTTCCAATGTGTTGAGTTATTAGCCTTTGCAAATGACACTTAGATGTCCATTCATTTATTAGGCTCGTCTTCCTGTGTGGTTAAGTTAGTGCTTGTGTTTGTTGTGCTTGTGATGTGAACTGCTATGAGGTATATGTTTAACGGTAGATGTTTACTTAAAATTATGGCCTTTCTAAGTTGGGTATGGCAGTGTGAATGAAAAACAACATTAGCTCCTTCCTCATGAATCCCTAAATTCGTGACAATTCCAAAAGTCCCCCTAAAATGGTGCCGTTTTCTCGAAATTCCTCCTTACGCTTGACTTTGTCCTAAAGTTTGACAAAATAATTATGTGGGTTTTTCACTGTTGAAAATAATGACTGTTCGATAAACACATGTACGTTCCGCCCATTTTCCCGAGGCATCTTAATCAGAAAAACGTATGTTTCTCTCATCCTACGCCGGTGTACATACAAAAACATCCTAAAGCCCTAAGTTTGCCCCAACTTCACATATCATAAAGAAAAAGGTTAGGGTTGCTCGAGCATAGATCGAGAAAATGGAGATCAAGGATCACTATAGATGTGGGAGGAGAGCTGTTATGAGAATGCCATGGATTGAACCGAAACCGGTTAGGCACTTTCTTGTGTGTGAGAAGTACGGGGTAAGGTCAGTTGAGGTTTTTAATTTCAATTTAGAATTTTAGAATTATGGTGGTCATTTGAAACAAAATGCCCCTTGGAAAGACGTGAAATGAGCACGTGATGAGCACATGTTCTTTGGCCAACCATTATTGTTCATCAACGACGAGCTCAAGGAGGCTTTTAGGTCAAAATGATCTAGTTCAAAAGGTATTTTGAAATAGAATTGAACGTGAGCGAAATTTCAAAAAATAAGCACCACTTCATAGGGGTTGTTGAGTCAAAACGATAGCATTTCTAGAGATATTTTGAAACAAAGTAATGTTTAGGGTCAATTTTGAGAAATAAAACAACATGTTAGGGGGATTATTGGAGGTTTTCCCCCTAGATTTTGTCATAATCTAGTCTCATCATAGAGATTAGACTTAGGTAGTGAACTTGGCAAAAAAAGAAGGCCATCATTCTGCCAAGTCAATTTATATATACATTATTACCATGAAAGTTGTTGGTAAAGCTTCAGCCCGTCCATTGACCTATCGTTCTACTTCGAATTGTCTCAGCCACACTTTGTGCGTATGTGTGTGATTATTAGCATAGGAGGGGTCTCCACAATTACAATACTGTTATCATCTACCTGTGTTATGAGAATTTAGTGGAGGAAGAGGGAAAAGAGAAGGCATCAGTCACATGAAACAAATGAGCAAAATTAAGCTGTGGTATCTCTCCCACAAAAAGTGGTTTCGAGGGTTTGAAGGGAGGGGGACTGTAATTAGCAATAGTCTAAGACTAGATTACATAACATCACAACCAGCAAGAAGAGGCTCTAGAGATGGGGTGTGAAGAGGGGTCGCTTAACAAGTCAAGAGTTGTGGCTGCGGTTGCACTGCAGCCAGTGCCGCTGCCAGCATGTCGGGCGCTGGGATGAAACCCTAGACTCAAGAACATCTCATGATGCTTGTGAGCTGGTGGAGGAGTAGCACTACTTAGTAATTCGGTACTTGCTGTGCTGCTGGTGCTGTTGTTTCTGATGATGGTCTGGTGGCGATGAATGGAGATGCAAAGTGAAAGGTCGAGGTCTACATCTGCATCTCTGTCTTTATCCACATTCATTCCGTTCTTGTTATTGAAGAGTTGCACTTCCTCTGCGGTGGTGGTGGTCGTCACGCCGCTGCTCATGCTGTTATTAGTCGATTCTTCTTCTTCTCGCACTGCCACCACTGCGCTGGCTAATGAATTCAATCTTTTGTTCACTGTGGGAGGCGGTGACGATGACGATGACGATAATTCTTCACAAGTTGTCGAGTGAGACTTGGCCTTCTTGCTGCTGTCATTAGCGTTAGTACAGATAGTATGAGTAGCAGCAGCTCCAGCACCAGCACCAGCACCAGCAGCGTTGTAGTCGAGAGGACGGTGGGTTTGGGGATCGATCCCGCGTGCGAGAAGCTTTCTTTTGATGTGGGTGTTCCAGTAGTTCTTTATCTCGTTGTCTGTCCTTCCCGGCAACCGTGCTGCTATCAGCGACCATCTATATGTGCATGCGCGAATAACAGCTCTTAGTTGACTTTGGCCGAAACATGAACAAGAAAAGAAAGAGGTGATATATATTAGTCATTTACTTGTTGCCGAGGAGGCTGTGGAGGGTGATGATGAGCTCGTCCTCGTCGTCGGAGAAGTTACCACGCTTCAAGTCGGGCCTCAAGTAGTTGATCCACCTCAAGCGGCAGCTCTTGCCGCAGCGAAGCAGGCCGGCTGCTTTGGGTAGGGATCGCCAGCAGCCTTCGCCGTGGTGCCTGATGTAGGCGACGAGGCGCTCGTCTTCCTCCTTGCTCCATGCCCCTTTGTTCATGTGCTCGCTCTCGCAGCACGGCGACCTCCCCATCTCCTTCTCTGTCTATACCCTTTGCCCAACACAAGACGTTTATGTATTGAAATTGAATTGAAATGGTGCATCAAACCTCAAGAGGACTACTTATGGAGGAAGAAAGAGAGAAAGGAGATAAATAGAAGAGCGTGGTGGGGAGGGGAAGGAAGGAAACGTCATCTTTCTTTTTTAGTTTTTCGTTTTAAGCATTTGACCAAGTTGGTGTTGAGAAAAGACGAGGTGATTGCAATTAAAGTTTAGTGGTGATGGACGGATGGATGGATGTTTGGTAGGTAGCTCTACTTTTTATGTTGTATCCTCTTAAAGTCTGCCTGCATATTTTTCTAAGTTGAAGTTCACTATTTCTTTGTGTAGGGCCCTGTGTTTTCCTCTATTCCCAATTCCACCCACAACTACCTACCTCCAAATCTTATATTTCTCAAGTATATATATATAAAAAACCATCTTTGTATAAAAATGGGTCTGGCAGATCAAACTCAGGGTTACACTCGTTTTCCCCATTTTTCATGCTCAACATTCGCATCCAAACCTACCGGCCTCTCAGCCGCAAATACTTTGCATTGTGGAGGTACCTCCAAATCTTATATTTCTCAAGAATAAAAAAAAAATCATCTTTGTATAAAATTGGGTCTGGCAGATTGAACTCAGGATCACACTCATTTTCCCCATTTTTCATGCTCAACATTCTCATCCAAACCTACTAGACTTTTAGCCGTAAATACTTTGCGGAGGTTTTTTCAGAGACTAATCAAGAATACAGAGTTGCCGTCCTTCTTCGTCATCGACTCGAAAGGACTCGAAAGCAAATATATTTCGATGGTTTGATGCCGAGAATGCGTAATTACTGCAGATTTTGAGGGCATACAGAGCAAAGAATTAAAAGTAGATTTTTTCAGTGGACCTACCAACCATCAACTTCCTATTCTGCATATCACACAAAGACATTAAATTTCTGTACACTCTCCCCATTTCCTTAGAAAGTGACCCACACAGACATTTTTATACATGACATGATGTGTACCATTACTAAAACCATATTCTTCTGCAACACAAAAATGTATTCTTGGACTGTCTTCCACCTCCCCGGATTTCTTCCATTTTTATATTGCTGAGGTTCTAGAAGACCCATTCCAACTCGCTCCACTAACTCTTGTCAATTCATGACCAGAGAAAAGATTAACTAAAAAATCTCCTACCTACCTTCCATGATTGACATCAACTTTAATTTGCTGATATTCCTACTCTCACTGACACAGATTGCTGATTGGACCAGGTATCCTCCCTCCATTGCACTCTTTCAAGTGCATCCCATTCTGATCTCTTTCTTGAAATTGTTTATTTTATAATATTTGTTGGGCTTTCCCGGAGAAAGAGACTTCATTTGTTATTTGTAAGCCAAGATTGAATGTCCATGGTGTCCAACGCAAGTTAATTTGATCTATCAGGCTTCTTCCCACTCGAATTCAATAATGTTTGGCTCATCCGGAGTCACATCTTAATGATTTGTTGAAGAATAGACACCTAATTAGCTAGTTCGTAATTAAATTGGGGGGTTCACCTTGTCACGTCTAGATTGTCCGCTAGAAAACAAGGCATTAATTTGGAGCAAAGCATGAAGATAACATGGATGATGTAATTAAGAGATGCTCAATCTGTTTTGTTTATTACTTGCGGTCGCATTCACGGTTCGACCAACCCCCCTTCACATATAATGTATATATAAAAAGAGAGACGGCCATCCATTCCTTCTAGAAGGGTAACGAGTTAAAGTACTATTGGGGGAGTGTGGAATACAATAAAATTAACATTAAGCAAAAGAAAGAGAATTAAGAAAAGGGGAGAGAATCTTTTTGAGGTTGGTGACCCACCTCGTCCAGTGCAGGTACTCTCGTTGTTTGCCTACCGCATCTGATGCAGCAAAACGGCAAATGCTTAACACTTATGATGTCCTCTTTTGCTCTCATCCCTATGAGCTTCATTTTCTGATAGCGTTCTTGGACATTGTAGATGTAATCGTATATGCATAATTGCGCACTGTGGGAGGTTAGGCAAGGGGAGTTTTCCCTCGGAAGAGTGGAATACAGAGCTGTTGGGCAAGGCGCAACAGCGAGCCCGGTCCACCTAATCAGCGGTATTTCTATCCTTGTCAAATCGCTAAGAAATGGGTGTTGATCAAACCCACATTTCATCCAACTTCAGTGGTTACTTTTATGCTGTTGGTATAGGTTGCATCTCCTCCAGGTCGGCTGATTAATATGCTGGTATAAAGAACTGGGATTCCATTAGCACCGGCCGAAAATCACAGCAAAGCAACAATCCCATGCTTTTATCTGAAATACCTAAGCATTAGTAGCTCCCAGCATAAGCCATATCTAAGATCGATTGCTACACCATGTTATCATGGTAAAACTTTTTGCAATGGTTAACCTACACGGTGCCACAACTCACAATCTGGCAATTCAGCTGGTCATGGCTATACGATGCTAAGAAATATGTCACATTGCTCTCTCTGTGTTCAGTGGATTGATCAAGGTCTCGTAAAACAAAAAAAAAGATCACGAGTTCGACAATGACAATAGCACTACGAAACCATCAAATGACTGATTTTAGTTGGATAATTCTTGCCCGATGTTTGTTGCCATTATGTGGATTGGTTGCTGGCTGATACCCTTGCCATGCATTAGATGCTAATGGAGAACGCTCTTCAACTCGGTATGCAATTCACCTTTCTTTTGCTCCTGGCGAGGTGGGGGCCAAAGGTTTCTATGAAGAGAGGGCTCTGTCATCCTAAATCATGGGGTTCTTACTCTTCTGTGGACTGTGAAGATTGACTTAATGATCTTCTCATATTTACACACAAAAACAGTACAAAGGCAAAACACTGATAACATAACTTCCCGCATATGAATATAATCTGAAGCTCTCCCCCAATGCAATTACCTGCATTGTGGACTACACAACACAGTGAGAGACGCTTGACTGATGCAAAGCCCATATCACTAAGTCATTGTGTTCTTGTTGCCAATACAAAGGAGCAGCTTGCATACATCCATGAGTTGAGGTTCAGAAAGAAGTATATAGCTCCGCATCAGATGATGGCAGAGTTTGCACCCATCTCAGACCGAAGCATGAAAAAGATCAGTCACTGGAAAAGATGCTTCCACTGTGTGAACTGCTGGCATTGCGACTATGTAATGATAGCCCCCTCATGTGTCCAGCCACAGCAGAACTATCCGACTTCTTTTCTTGAAAAAATTTTACTCTCTCAACGTGTTTTGCTGGTGGAGGAGGGATTGCCACAGCTGGACCCTGCCCATTGGATTCCCCGGATAGCGTTGTAGATGGAGACCGTATAAGTGGACGGTACGGTATTTCTCCGGGAACATGTGATCCAAACAAGTCTAATGGCCTTTGCACTGTCCCCTCTTCATCTTCAGGCCTCACACAAGCTTTTCCTTTCCGTAACCTGCTATAGTTAGAATTAACCAGAATGCACATGAAATAGGAAATCAAATAATACGGCAGTTAAATCACAGCTTTAGCACCATCACTTGAAGAACCGGTATTTCTGCAGAGTTCTATCTACCATATCCAGCCAAGGACACAATTAAGCATCTTTTTTCAAAAAAGGCAAGAATTCAACCCTTCTAAACAGCTTTCTTCAAAAGAGCTAACAGCATCAATTTAAAGACATTGTCTGCCACGCATATCAACAGGTTTTCCTCAGTCAGTTGTTGCATCACCTGCTTGATATGCATCAGCTTAAAGACTCAAGACCCGTCCCCTTCATCCACTTTTCATTTTTTACAAAGTCAAGATCCTGTCAACATTTAGCCAGTCGAATCCACTTTCATCTGAAGCAGCAGACCAATCCTGACCACCAACAACATGAGGCTGAGAAGTGGATAATAGGCCACCAGCAAGTCCGGGTGTGGTATTGAAAAGACTAGTTTTAATATGTAGGACAATCCGACTGGGTTGAATCAGATTTGGAAGTACTGTTTTGGGGCTGTGGATAGTACCCATGAACAGCACCAGTGAACAGTAATGCGGAGTTTGAATTGGCCGATCAGTGAATGATAGAGAAATTGATAAGAGTTTGGGAGATGTTGGAAGAAAGGTAGAATGAAAAGGAAAAATCTTTAGGTTTCTCACGCAAAGCCCCGCAGCATCACACCTAGGGGAGAATTGCATTGTGCAACTCTTACCAAAGAAATGCTGAAATTTTATTTACTCAAAATACTTCACAACCAAAGGAAGAGCATTTTGTAGACTACTAGACCCTATTCCCCCAAGGAAACACTTAGATAAGAAACTTAAGAAATATCATATCTTAAAAATGAGTAGACATAATATTCCATTTCACATAATATCCTAAATTCGAATCAAGTTCGAGCTTTCAACAGCATGGGCTCTCTCACTCAATTGCTTCCCTAGTTCCATCCAACCATGCAGTGTGAGAATTAATCCAGCGGAGAACCTCCTTATAGCAATACTTGGGAAATTAAGAGAGGGTTGCTAACAAACCTTCGGAAAAGCTGTTCATCTTCCTCTTCCTCAATCTCTTCATAATTAACATGACTGGCTGGTGTGCCAGACCTACCCAAGAGGAGAGCATCATGTCGTGCAAGAACATTTTGAAGCTGCTCGTTTAAATCAATTGCTTGAGAAACCACCTTCTCATCCCTGGACAAGAGAAATCTCTGATTCAGTTTAGTAGCGCATTTTGACATGAAATATTAGAAAATACCAAAGATCTCTTCAACTTTCCAATCAACCTGGTAACATAAACCTTAAATCCAGGAATCATGAATTATTGGTGGAATTTCTGGATCATCAAGAAGTACCGCACCTTAATACAATTAACATGAGTGGAGACTATGTATCAATCTATTAACATCACCAAATATAGACCTTTTCAATAGCAAGTATCCGACCAAAAAGAAAAATGTAGCAAGTAATATGTCAAAAAAAATGTAGCAAATATGATGATGGAAAAGCCCCTTGTTCTAGTTCAAAACTTGAATTCATCAGAAGGTTGGGCAAGTCTTTGACAACATATTTGGATAACTTCCAATCGTTCTCCTCCTTCATGGTCCAGTGGGACCATGTAATGATCAAATATACCTTTCCATCAGCTCACTAAATTCAGTCATGTCCCATAGAATGTCCTGCTTCGTCTAAATGATAACCAATTGATAATCTAGTGTCTTTGCAGGACAAACTATATATATCTTCTGACTCAAGAAAAAGAGATCACCGATTAAAAAATTTGTAACTTAAACAAGTAAGAACAAGATCAATTTCAGTTTGTAAATTTTTTTAGGTACGGTCTAGGATGTTTCAACAGGATTATTAAAGTCAGCAAGGGTAAGCTTAGTATTAGAAGCATTACTTTGGCCCAACATACAGTTTTAGGATATCCTCGTGCAACAGATAATTGGCCAAAGATACTAACTCAAACTTAATCTAGAAAGAATACTCACCTAGAAGTCATCACAAGATGCATTACTCGTTGTTTTTGGAAAGAACACTGCTCCACGAGATCAAGTGTGAACTCATCTTTTGCAATCTATCAGGCCATTGACAATAAAAAGCATTGTATTATCAGGCTCTGATCAGTGAAATTCAACATGGTAATACACTATTCAAAGTCAAGTTACGGTAACTCATCCTTACTTAGGATTATCTCATTAAAAGGTATGTTTGTCTAGTTTTTTTTATGCGTACAAAGCTTTAGTGTACTAGCGTAACAAAATTATGTCCATATGCCAAATCTGCAGCGCCTTGGTGTTATGTGCAATGCAAATGATAAAATCCAGAGTTCAACTTCACCTTACCTCAGGATGTCGAGCATCAACAGCATCAAGTACGTCCTTCAGAACCTCTAATGCATTACGGGCCTTCTGAACGATACTGCACAATATTGATCGAGTGCTAAATGCCTTATGAGAAAAAAAAAAGATATGAAAATGGTTCTCTGTCTTCCCTCCACCTACGCACCCAACTCCCCCTTTCTCACCACACATGCAAAAGAAGATCAAACAAAAAGGAAAAATTGACTGTTGATGGCCAACGTTTTCTCTAAGAAGATTAAAACTGCAATCTCATTTTAGGTACCAAGGAGGGAGACCCATTTGTAGGAACCTAAAACAAAGAGCACAAAGGATCTCCATATGTAAAGGTCTGCTTTATAAATCGGAGCATATATGGCTTTATGAGAGCATTACATAGCAGCTTAAAAGCCCAACCAAAACAACACAAAAGCATTCTCCTAACACTTTCAACCTACTCTCCCACATTTTAACTTTATTTACATAAATTAAAGAATAAGAAACATACCTATTATACTGTCTATTTTTTTGCATGTTGCATGAGCTTGATTCAAGCTCAATTAGAGTTTAGTTGAGTCAGTTCAAGCACATGAAAAACTTTATGAAGTGACACTCGAGCTAGAAAAATCAAGATAAATCAAATTTGACGAGTATTGATCCTTAAATATCCAGGTAGAATCGAGCTTAAGTAAACTATCTAGACTTGGCGTGGCTTGGTTACAGCTCTAGCTTCAAGTTTGGAGAATTCAAACATGGGAGTGCCGTATTAGTTTTGATGTTCTTAACCACGTAGGCATAAGATACTGTCGTACTAATGTTACAACAATCCAAACCCCACAATTTGGGCAGCATCTCTCATTTCCATAGCCCATTCATAAGGTTCTACAACTCCTTCCTGCACTGAGACTTCAATCAATCTATTTCAAGAAAGAAAAAGTTTGCTAATATCTTTCCCATTGATATGACGAAAAATCATCAACCAATGTGTCCCTCCAGAGAAATGACTCACCATGGATCACCTGTCACTTATATTATATCAAAGACAAATGACCACTCATCCTCACTGACACAATTCTACCATTGCTTTAATGCCTGGCAAGGAAAGGCTGTCATCCTCATCCCAAATTCAGTCAAATCCATGAGGAGCCATGCCTGTCAAGTTCACTGAGAAAGATGTAGACAATTAGGGCAAGAGGGGCGACTACCAATACATAGAGTCATCGTCCAGTACACTATGATATAACTACCTATCTTTCCTTCGGTGGAGGCTGTAGAAGTCATCAATTCATAGTTCATGCATCTGATAAAAGAAGCAGATATTCCATCTATAACTTGACTCCAAACCGTGTAGATCACGCTACCAACAGAAGCATTCAACTGCTATCAGCTAAGCCAAGGGGGATCACCACTGTCAGAGGCACTCATGGGTGTCAAATGAGGCAGGGTTGGGTCCTCCTAACACAAACCACAAGACCAAACCACATTTAAATCATCAGAGGACTTGGACCTGTCACGTGTTTCTATCATGCTCCTCACAAGTATGAGAAAGGGTCCATGAAAATCCCAAAATCACTCTCCTATACTTGTAATGACCTGGCTATTTTTTTTTTTTGGCTGACTGATGGACTGACAGCAAAATCAGTAGTCTATAGGAGCACAAGTCTTTCAACTCTTAAAAAGTGGACTTTTGTAAACATAAAAGTAATCCGATGGTCTGAATGAATCAATTTATTATACAGATTGCACCAGCTATTAATTTCTCAATTACATAGCAAATTCAGCAGCTGCCACGCTTTGTACGCCTGAAAGCTGAAAACTTACTTCAGTTTCTTTCAATATAGCAAAAGAGTCCACTAGAGACTTGGACAATTTCTTTTCGCAAATAACAACGATAAATTACAATGACAGCCCTCCATCTTTCCTAAATTGATCACAACTTATCTGTCAATGACGGTCCCATCATCATGATACTAAAAATTGCAGAGTTTACTTTATCTATGATTTTTAATCAATTGTAGAGATTTCTGACATGGACATTGTTGATCATGACTTTACGCAGATTGAACAAGACGAACTAAGAACTGGGTTAATTAATCTCTATGAGATCAATCTCATCCCATTAAGAAAAAGGGTTAATATCACGAAAAACCCCAAATTGGTACACCTGTGACAAATTTACCCCAAACTAATTTTTTAACCATAAAAAATCTCAAACTGATACACTTGTGACAGATTTACCCTAAACTAATTTTTTGACCACAAAAAACCCCAAACCGGTACATTTGTGACAAATTTGCCCTCCGTTAAATTGGATTAATATCTCGAAAAACCACAAAATGGTACATCTGTGACAGATGGAGAGTAAAACCTTAAACTGGTACACCCGTCAACTGCCACGCATCATCCAATTTAGAAATTTGACGGTAAAATTTAACGAAAACTAACAAAGGCTAAAATTGTCACTGGTGTACCGATTTGGGGTAAATTTCTCACAAGTGTACCAATTTCGGATTTTTCGTGGTATTAACCCTAAGAAAAAAGAACTCCTAAATATTGCAAATACTTGTGCAGAAAATACATTGACATATTAATTTTACCAAAGTAATGATGTTATACATTGTTTTCTGCCTGAACTACTTAAATCCACGAAGGAAAAAGATATTACACGAGAAAGTTTGAAGTCCTAAAAGTATAAGAAAAGCTAAGTATGTTAATTACATAAAGTCTTCCGCGGTCGACTAAAGCAAGAAAACTAAGAGAAAATGCCAAGAAGAAAGGAACATTTTGACAGGAAATTCAATTTTAAATAGGCTTTGGATTACATGCCTGATGCTTTCAGCATATTAGCCTTGAAGCTTCCACAAATCATGGAAAACGCTAACTAAAATTGCTATGTTATATTCTAACAATATAACAACTTAAGGGGCTCAATGTAAATGGCTTAAGAGATTTTCTGGAGGAAAAGGACATCTAGCTGATGAGCTAATCGCCCAAAAGGAGATAACCTTTTCTGATGGAAGTTGGAACATACCTCAATTCAGAGACGGAATGTGTGCCTGATTGCTGAGAAAATCCATCCTGTCTACTAGATGCTGGCTCCCTGTCAGAAGGACTCTTTTTAATTGCTTCTGGAGTAGGATGACGTGAGGATCTCCTCACAACTTGTGCAGGAGCATTATCTGACAATATGGACAGAGACCTCTGGGGAAACTGAACTCCAGAACTCTGAGTGTAGTTCAAATAGATTTTTAATGCCTCAGTTTCCGACCAATGCAAATCAGAAGTATGGAAATACAAAGGTTTTCAATATAACATCCAAATTGAGATCCCAATTTGAAAGACTAGTACTTACCACAAGGTCATAGAATGCAGAATAATATTGAGGGAACTTCCCAGAAGCACCACCAAGGGATGTTTGTGTGGCATCTAGAAGGAGAAATATCCTCTCTCGTACCGGCAAGTCAGTCTAAAAGAAATTTTCCATGAAGTACACTATTTCAATTTTATCGAGTCATTTAGAATATGTGACATCAAATGCAAACCTTTTTCTTAACTATCTTCACAAGAATAGGTAGAATCCCTAATTCAATGACTTGCTTATGAACAGGTTCCCCAATATTGTTCATCAGCATCTCCAACAACTGCAACACAATAGACCTTCTTCAGAGAGTTGTTAAGAAACAGCAAAGGACAGGACTATGGCAGGTGTTGCTGTGAAAACTATCGATGCAAAAAATAAAAATAAAAAATTGAACAGCATTCAGGACAAAAAATACATGAATAACGAATTATAAAACTGTATTAAACAGTTAAAAAAGTTATAGAATGGCAACAAAAGAATCACACTAACCATGACTGCATAGAGTTGTGCATTTGAATGTTTACTCCCCAGTCGTTTTTTGATGGTCTTAATAATATCTTTCGATACCCTGCATGGTTATTGAAGATATCGTGTTCATCGCTTATTAGAGCTGAGACAACATACTGTAGATGTAGTATATGGTCAACTATTTGGCATACCAATATAGCGACGTATACCGTTTAATACCAGGATTGTGCATAAACATGCCCTAATTCAATGTTGAATGTTTTGATAAGTAATAATGTACTTAGAGGGTAAGCAACATTTGAACCATGATATTAGGAAGAGCGCCAATTGAATTGGTTTCATATACCACCACATGAGTAACACCTAAAATGAAATGCAAAGGAAGAAACTAGCGGGGGATGGAGTGTTGAGGGGAGGGGGGGTTTCCCCTAACCCACAAACTTCTTGAAATTTGACTTTGGCCCAAGTTTCCTAAAAAGATTACAGGGCCTAATACCCTAAAAACCCTCGAACTTTAGCTTTTGTCCCAATTTTACCTTTTGTCTCATAAAAAACCTCCAACTTTAGGTCATGTCCCAATTTTACCCTAAACTATTTTTTATCCCATAAAAAACCCGCAACTTTAGGTCTAGTCCCAATTTTACCCTGAACTTTGTTTTTTCTAATGAAAACCCCTCAACTTTAGGTTCAGTACTAATTCTACCCGAAACTTTTTTGTCTCATAAAAAATTCCAGCTTTAGGTCCAGTTTCAATTTAACTCTATTTTTTTGGTCTCATAAAAGATCACAAACTTTTACATGAGTCCCAAATCTGCTTTCCATTAACCCTCCGTCAAAATCGCACTTAGTGATTTTGCACTCAGTCTTTGCTCTCCTGTGCTTTCTCTTGCGGTCAAAGAGCTTGTGCTCAGAACGCTCGAACAGCTCGTGCTTTGGAGTTTTCCATCTCTCAGTTGTCAACAAAAAATTTTGGACAGAGGGTTGATGGGGGAAGATTCGTGACTCAAGTAAAATTTTGTGGTTTTTTGTGAATCTACAAAAATTTTAGGGTAAAATTGGGATTGAACGGTAAAATTGGGACAAGACAAAAAGTTGGGGATTTTTTATAGGACAAAAAAAGTTTTGGGTAAAATTAGGACAAGACTTAAAGTTGAGGGTTTTTCATGGGACAAAAAAAACTTTATGATAGAATTGGGACATAACCTAAAGTTTGAGGTTTTTTAGGGTATTAGGCCAAGATTACAGTGAAGTCCATGTTTCCTAGAAATTTAAAATAGCTGATACTTTTCAGTGTCTCTAATCAATTATGACTTCAGATCGTGTATATAAACTTGAAACAGAGAAGCCACCGTTTGTTCTAATTCAAAATAGTTTTTATAGAGTTTTCCCCAAGAATACATGGTAGCTTCATTGAACATTCAATTTACATTGAGAATGTGCTTTTAAAGAAAGGATGGAACTCCTAGAAGAGATATGAGAACCAATTGCCTGAGGTCTTCATTATACTATCGCTTATTGGTTCAATATTCCAGCTTTAGTTCACTCTATTTTGCCTCCATTTTAGATCTTGTATCTCCTTTTTTCATAATTGAAAAGGGCAACCGCATAATGTTTTACCTGTTACATCTATATGTTGTGCCAACAAAAACAATGTACAAGAAAATGAGTACTTTTCCATTCGAAACTTTTTTTCTCTAATTAGATAAATAAGTAAAGATGGAGGGACAAAAATTTACCTTCATGATTTATAAAAGAATAATAAAGGCATGATATTCACTAAATCTTCAAATGCAAAGTCATATCGTTGCACAATGTAACCAAAAAGCATATCAAAGTAGAATAATCCGATGAAAAGGTGTGACAATAATTCTAGACAAAGAAACGAAAAGACAGCACTTATATCAAACTGAGAAGATCCATATGGATAAACTAGGTGATATTAAGAAACTTCTTTTTTCTGAAAATGCATAAGTTGTCATGAAATGGTTTTCAGAATGTAAGTGGGGCATATTTCTTACCACTCCATCTCACATGTAAGTGGTGATTCACATGTGAAATGGACCTAACCACATTAAACAGAACAGGAAGGCAGGAACACAAAAACATGATATCAGACAAAGTAGAAACAAGAGAGATTGCAAGAATTCAAACTCTTAAATGATGCTCTAGTAATTCAAAGGGACCCTTGTTCTTCCAAAAGTTCAAGCAAAAGGGAATTAGACCCACAATGCGTGTGAGAGTTTAAAAGCTTAACAGACCCCTTACTACATATTTGATATCTAAAAGGTTTTCTAAGTCATTGAACACACTTTTAAAGGTCAATATGGGTAAATACTAACTAGAAACATGAGCGTGACAATGGGCCAATACAGATCATTATGGCAATAACATGTATATTAACCAATTTAGTCCACTAAGAGCAAGAAACCTATTAAAGCAACATGGTAAGTATGACACTAATAACCATTTTAAGGGGATGGCACTTTTGGAATTCAGCTAATTTGTAGCTTCACTTATGGTCATGGAAGAACGTCAGCTTACTTGCACTAAGAGAACTAGTTGAACGGAAAATATATATATATATATATATATATGTTCACTTTTAGACACTACGACATTAATCCTTTATCCTCTATTTTCCCAACTCCTCCGAGCAAAAAGTCTACACCAGCGACATCCCAAGTGTGGCTAGGATTGCATTGTCACCACCTCCATCTTTCAATGCAAAAACTTCACATAAAAATTGCTAATAAAAAAACAAGGCGAAATTAGTATAAATTGAAAGATCCAATGATCATGAAAATTTAATAACAGTTAAGAAATTGCAAGTTTTCATAGCAAGGATGACGTTTCTAAGTTATTCACAATTCAATTGCACTTTTTGTCACCAATGCAGTTGAGTGAGGATACGCTAGAAAGGTTGTAATTTTTCTGCTACAACAAAAGCTTGCCATTAAATAGCAAAAGTTCCGAATTTTGCATTATTCTATTTAATTTGACAAAAATTTCCATTTAAACAGCAGTAATCAGATGATAAATCTAGGTTTCACAATCGCAGTGTTTCACTCAAAAACCAAAGCCAGAAAAAACTTACCCTGGATCATGAGCAACTAACTCACAGATCTCGATGTTCTTCGCCCAATCCATTTCTGCCAATTTATTACTTGTGGCCGTGTTGACAAGATCAGCAGCCATCTTTCAATTATATATTGACTTCAAAAGAGGAACTGGAAGAACCCTCTAGATTTTAAAGCATATAGTCAAACTCCCATGTAGACTAAAGAAAGCAGGACCATGCTTATTGATGAGCATATTTTGCAGCAACAGAACCAACCAAGAATATCACATAAGAACATGAAGATTTTACTTGCAAGGTTTAAATTTGTTTGGATTGCCAAGATTGGTTGTTTTTCAATTATGATTGTGAATGGCTTCTCCACTTCACTATGAAACCATCCAAAGTTGCACTCAATAACTTGATAAGGCAAATAGAGACAACTACTGACAAAGCATCACGTGGGTTTCAGAGCCAAGGAAGATCAAAGCAGTCAGCTGTCAATCCTCCTAAGCACTATAGGAGTCGTCAAAGATATGCAGCACACATGAAGTAAAGCTTAATAGTGTTCACCAATCATAACAACTAGAATGATACCCACGAGGGAAACAAGAAAAGAAAATCAACCTGACGGATCATATGACATAACTTACGGCAATAGGGTAGATTCTAAAGAAGCACAAAAGCATAATCATCATTTGGAAAGCCAGAAAGAAACAACTGTTCGCTCAGAGGAAATCAGTACTTCATTGGTGTATAATTTCAGGACAGCTAATTGTACAAAATAACATTGGTTCATAGAGATGTAAATGGAAACACCTAAAGAATTCAGGCCAAACACAACATGACCATATCGGGAAAAGAAAACAGGGAAAGGAAGCAAGAACCCGAAAGAAGAGCTCGTCTTTGCGGACGCTACAGCAGCAGCATTCTCCCCTGTGCAGCCCCTACTCTGAAACGAGAGCAACAAAGCAAGAACCCATCAAGGCGCTTCAACAAAACCCCACAATCACGGATACCCAGCTCAACACAGAGAGAGCTCGTGCCGGGACAAAGCGCTGAAACTCGGGTGCTCTCGACCCGAACGCCCGTGGAAGATAAAAGGAGAAGGTAAAGTTGGGCTCAGAACATACCCAATGATTTGATGATGATCATGGGCAAATCCCATTTCCTCCCCTTCCTCGTGTTCTCCCCACCTAATTCCTACGCCATCATGGAGCCTTGTCGATGGTATCAACTCGATTCGCGGGAGTTGATTCAGAATCTCAGATCTTCGAGTATCGGTGGAGGTGGTGGAGTAGAGAGAGATTGTTCTTTTGCGGAGGACTGACTGAATAATATGTTATTGTGTATGCACCTCGTAAACGTACTCACTCAAGTTCCCAGTCACATTTTTCCCATTTTATGGTTTATACTCCTTATAAAAAATATTTAATAAAAAACATTTTCATTGTGAGCGAAAATATTTTTGACATAAATCGTTAATTATAATGATATTTTTTTTGTTGACTGATTCTTCTGAAAGATTCAAATATTATTTGTAGAAAATTATCTTTAAATTATTAATTGTTTGTAAAAAGGAACGCACCGGCAACTTATCTTTAAGAAAATGATTTTTTTTTAATTCGGCTTTTCGAACGAATTGAAAGTCTTTATTAATTTACGAATTTTTTTTATCAGATATTTGTATAACAAAATTGTGAAATACATACATCGCATGATCCCGGGACTGAAGCTTCCAAAGTATACATATCACATCCATTAATAATTTGAGATTTTCTTTGTCAAAATACTAATTTAGTCCTCCAATGTTCATTGCAAAATATCAATAGATATAAGGAACAAAAACTATAAATATGTCCGTTTATAGAGACCCCCCACCCTAAACCCAAAAGCGGCCACCTCGAGGTTCAAGCTTAAGCTCCAAGGTCCCTAGTCTGTAGTCTAGGTGCGGAGGTTTAAGCCCCAGTAGATCGAGGTACGACATCAAAGATGTCGATTACAAGTACACAACAAAAAAAGTGCATTGAGAAGTAAAAGTTTTCAGGCCTAGTTCCCTAAAAATCCCTTAACTTTAAGTCTAGTCCCAGTTATACCCAAAACTTTTATTTGTCTCAAGAAAAACTCTCAACTTTTCTTTTAATCCCAAATCTATCTCGCTGTTAACCCTCAATCCAAAGTCACCATTGCTTGTCCAATGTGGCATTTCCACATCAGCAATAAATCCAGATCATTTGTTGACTTGGATTTAAGACACTGTTCATCATCTTCATGTGGATTTCAGAGCTTCGGTATAGGGGGCTTGGGCTTGTTCCAAATGAAGGAATTGGTCATGAGCTTCCATGACGTCTCTTTCGTGCCATTGCAACATCACCTCCTAGACGTTGCCTTCTCGCCCTTCCTGTCCTCCATCCAATACCACTGCGGTCGTAGCAGCACTCTCCGAGGGACTTTATCGAGATTGAACCAGACACGACCCAAGAACTCATTTTTATTACTCTCTTTCACAAACACCTCCACAACCGAGGATTGTGTGTGCAATCCTTCGGAAAGGCAAAGTCTTGGTTTATTCGACATCGTTCGAGCTCGAATCCGAATCGACCCTCTTCGTGATTCCCCTATAACCGAGCTTTACCTCAGCCACCAACTCGCCTGTCACGCCCTGAACCAAGGCCGTGGTGTTCGGTCCTTAGCCTGGTCGTGTTTTGGCTTTGTTTCGGGGATATTGTCTCAACGTCTCGTTATTGTTTTGTTTGACTAAGCACAAGCGGAAGTAACTATCAAACAATAACAAGAACACAACAAAGTGAGCTAGTAAGCATATTATACAAACACGCATAATTTACATGATAGACGATTATTTTACAAGCTCTCTTTCACTATGGGCCTATGCGTCCATTAGATTACACCCGGATCTCGTCCGGTGCTATCCGCTCACATACTCCGCATGGTTGGGTTAAACTTAGTTTCACTATCGTCCCTTCACAAAAACAAAACAGTTAGTTCCTCCCAAGCTTGATCATCTCACTACGATTCATCTTCGCCGGCCTCGAGTGGTCCACTATACCCCGGAATGGGTCCGATCACATCTCCATCCATCAAAACGAACCATGCTAGATAACGATGAGGGACCATCTCATTCGCATCCACTTGAACCCAGACGGTCGTGCTATACTTTCGATATGTGACACCGGCCTCTACATCAACGATATCTACTACCCGAACATGCATTTCTACGGGATGACCAAAACGGACGGGAGGTGGCGTAGCCATACCTACAAAGCTGAAAATAATAATAAGTAAGTCGACACTCAGTAAATTAAATTCACTATGCTCCGGCTAAGAAATAGCCTCGCATTGAACAAGAGAAATAAACTTTACCGTTGACTTGTCGATGGTAGATCAATAGCAAATATTTCTTACTTTGTCTATGTACTAAACATGGCATGTTCAACAAACAAGAGAACCTCAAGCGTGGTTTTCAATGTTGCATGCAAAGATCAACATACGGGATTCATTATTCATGACCAAAATCCATCAGTCCTACCGGTTTCACCGGGCATCCGAGCTTTCCTCGGGCATCGTCTCGAAATCCATCAAATAACAACATCGTCTCGAAATTCATCGATGACGGCATCGCCCCAAAATCTATCAGCGGCGGCAACGTCCCAAAATCCATTGGCGATGGCCATAGTCTCCCGTGTGATCATGCAATAAACAACAAACATTTCCGGTTTTTATCTTGATTTAATTAGCTTATGCAATAAAGCACAAAGACATGCGGTACTCGTGTAGTTCATGCTCTCTAGGGAAAATTGCCTAACATGCGGTGCGCGGTCGAGTGTATGTGGCTCGGTCCACCATGCCAAGTGCTGGCTCAAAGCTGGACTTGGCCCGGTTCTACACGCCGTAATGTAAAACGTGCACCAAGCCAAGCTCGTCTCGGATCACCACAACATGTGTACGAGATCATACGACACCTCGTTTCACGCCTCGGTTGTGCCTTGATTCACGGCCACAATGCAAAACATACTTACATGCACTATAAACAAGACCACTTCTCGAGCCCAAATGCGCAACACTACGCCCTAACCAAAGTATAGGGAATTCACTTACTACTCTGGGTCTTAGGGTGTTTTGGTGATGGTGGTTCGAGTGAGAGGGTGTGACCGAGTGAGAGGGTGTGACCGAGAATGATGTCAGGACAATGGCCGAAAGAAAGAAGAGAGGCTGAGAAAAGTGAGATGGAGAGGAGATGGTGTTCGGTTTTGGGGAAAGGGTGGAATGGCTTGGAGTCTCTCCTATTTATAAGCCAAACTCTCATAATTGTCTTGCCAAATGGACCAATCAAATGTATTAAGGTGGTACCTAAAATTAGAGGCAATCTAGTAGAAATCTTATCTAAATCTTAGGCCTAATTATATGATGCTTCACATGGCTTCCAAGTTTCTTCTTAGGGTCATTATGCCCTATCTTAGGATACATGAGTCATCCAGGCATTAATGTCCTAAAGGACACCTAAGCTCATGCAATAATTTCAAGGGGACACCTAAGCCTCTATTATTGATCTCTTCATTAATGGCTTTGCCTTGATCTTTATTATGACCCTCTAAGCTGCTATGTGTGAGGTACATCTAGGGCACTCAAGAAGATCTTTAATGTCACGCCCCGGACCCTATCGAGCTCGCGACACCCCTCCACGGTCGTATTTCGAATGCGACGTCCCAGGATTCGTCGCCGACCCACACGAACATCAAAACATAAAGCGCAAGTGAAAACGATTAAAAGCACCCAGACAAGATTAAAGACCAAGGGTAGTAGAGAAAACACTTGAACATTCAATAACGTACTTCATACAATAACACATTTACAATATTCAGCTTTACACACGTTAGGCCACTAGGGTTAAACTCTACTTTCATAAAAAAGGGATTGGTGGTCGGGTAGGCTAGCCTAGTTATACAAAAAGAGTCCACTAAAAAGGGTTTCTAGACCTAGCACTAAAACACCGCTACAGCTCTCAAACCGAGTCGGAACTCGCAGACTCAAGCTCTGACTCCATGGGTTCCTCTTCGGGCTCCTCCTCCATTGGCTCTTCTTCAGGATCGGACTTTATTGACTCTAGGACGGCCTCCTTGGGTTCTGCCTCCGGCTCTGACTCCATGGACTCCTCGTCGAAGTTGGACTCCATTATCACCGGCCGGGGGTTGGAATCTTCAAGGGCAGCATCCAGGCTCGTGACCACACCGTCGGGAGCGAGAACCGCTGAGCGGTCCCACTCACCTACCCCATTAAACGGAACATCGCAGTTCCGAAGTGGACCATAAGTGCCGTACAAATCCCGATAACAGTAAGCCCGATACGTATTAGGCTGCAATGTCTGTCTACCCACGTCTACCCACACCACAGTAATATGCTTAATATAGGTCTCCCCGTCTCCTACGGGGTATTCCATCACCGAGTGCTCAGTATGCCTCGGGATCCCAAAATGCTATGGTGGATTGCTCATGGTCGGGGTCGAGGGTCTGAAATGGTTATATAATAACCATGAGAACGAGTCTTGTAACATCCTGAATTTCGACCCAATCCCGGGATCAATGAAATAGATATTATTTCTCATTTAATTTTAGTAAGTCTCGCTCGGAACTGATCACTATCGGGATACTAACCGATGGGGCATGGCTAACTAGGAAAACGGTACGTGGACCAGGGACCCGAACGCGAATCGGGCACCGATTACGAGGAACGACAAGAAAATATTTTGGGCCAATGTGGGCCGATCCTAGGAAAGTGACGGATTTGGTTTGATCAACGATGTACGATCGGATTGTGGGTGATTCCGCATGACCGAGAATACGCGTGGCGAACAAATCTTGAACTTAATCCGAGCGATTGCGACTTCCGGAACTAGCGATAATTCCTCGCGTTCTCCCGGTAATCGAGACCGTCACAACTCGAGTAACCTTCGGTCGATACGCGTAACCCCTAAATAGACGCCCGTTAGTGAGAGACCCTAAAATTTTAATGGAGCAATTTTGATCGCGAAATTGGATCCGGACTTGGACGTCAAATTTCGTGGACGTACGCGACTATTTTTGCGAGGACGACGTCATTTTAGTGTGGCCAGCTATATTTGGGAGCAGTACGGTCGAAAAATGGAAATTCGGCCCCGGAATCGGAAAATTACGATTTTGCCCCTAAGCCTATGCCTTGTATTCCGAATTTTAGAAATTATTGGAGGACATTTTGGGGATTTAGTTGGTCTTGTTCAGCCCTCTCATTGCCGAAAATCTTAGACAATTTTGCCCCGAGATATTTTGATTAGAATTAATCAAAGCACTTGATGGATGGGCAAGATGGTCATTCTTTGAGAAG